ACGAGAAATAATATAAATTAATGACACGCACTTCTAGCACTGGCTTTTTACTTTCGTACTACACCAGTGACCATTGTTCTTCGGCTATACGAACGATCCACGCGACGTTTATTCGAGTCTTTTTGATTTAATTAAGAAACATTTCCTTGATGATGTTACATAGGTACGTTACGTTATACAAAATTCGATGAATTATAAAAATGCATTATCATAAAAAACATTTCATAAATTTTTCTTTTAATTCTTTCACCATTATTTTGCATAAATTTTCAGTTGGAGGTTCGTGATAAAAATGAGTTAATACATCGTCGAGGAAATTATTATGAGTTAAATCGATTAGACTCGTTCCTTCGCGTTTAAACGTGATTTTTATATCAAAAGCGATCATGTAAACGTAATTAACCGTTGTACGAAATCTCTTGTCAGGTCGAGCTCCTCTTCGCGAACCTTTTGGATATATAGAAGCAGGAGGAAAAACAGCAATAATAGAAACAGAAATTTGTTTCGTTTCTGGAGAAAGAGTCCGTTTCGATGGCAATTTTGACCTCGAATGATCGATTGTCGTTGAAGCGGCGCATTGCGACCTAGACCATAGGGAACACGCGATACTTCCACCGGTTTCGCTGCTTATCGTTGAACCGACCGGAATCTCCGGCTAATCCCCTTGACGTGAAAATAAGAAATTGTAATTCCAGTTATTTCGTATTGTAATTTTGATGAAATTTGGCCGAACGCTTTAAGAAACAAGGTAATCGCTTACGTAAAGTGATGTAATCTGTAAGAACTTGAACGATTCATTTATAAAAATATAACTGGTAAAAGGTCACATTTCATAGAAATTTCTCATTGAATTTCATCCACGATGTATAGGGTAACTTACACAGTTGTTGACCCCTGTGCAATGATCGACCCTTTTCCTAAAAAAGTAAGAAACATGTATGTAATGCGTTTCTTAGCTCTTACACGGCGGACCATGGAGAGAAGGAAAATTCTAATTCGATTTAGTTCTTCGTATTATTTTCATTTCCTAAGTTTTACACTGTCCCTTTAAAAATTATTTTTCTAGCATATGATAATCTCGTTTAAAAATTATATATTCAACATTGGGTCACGATTGATCTAGGCTCCGCTGTTGAAGGATTAAATATCTTTCGTAGCCCGAATTCTTTTTGTTCCAAATAGAATTATAATTTATTACGTATAGCTTTCGCATTATACTATAGGATCAATGATTGGATACAGTGGTCGATATCTGTTAAATCTCGTGTCAAGGGGTAGTTCGCGAATCAAGAAGCGAAATCATTGAAATCAAACAGCCACTAAAAAGTAATAAATATAGTATACTACACCTTGATGCCATTATAATATACGAACCAATTAATAAAAAGCTATCAAGTCGACAAGAACATCGATATTTTTCTACGCGAGACCGGAAGTAACGATACTTCTTCAGCACGTTTCGTCTTCAGAGATCTCCGTTTCGAACGTCTTCCCCGGTCTGAAACTTATTAACACCGTTTTTTCGTTCGAGTGAGGATTATTTCGTTACCGATACGGCTTTCTCATTAAACTTACATACCTATACACACACGCACACATGAACACACGAGTACTCATATGTATACATAGACAAGCACATTGGTCAACAGTAAAACGGGGCGTTAATTAAAAAAAAAAAAAAAAAAGAAGAAAAAATGGGCTCGAATGATCGTTTAGGCCATAAGTACAAGCGTAAGATTTTTTATTGCTAATATTTTTCCTCAGGTCGAGTCTCGAACGGTGCCTAAAAGCTTTGATTAAAGAGCAAGTAAAAACAAAAAAAAGAGAATCATTAAATAAAAGCAGCAAGTTCTGAATTGCGTGTCGACGAACACTTTTTTAAACAAAATTAAAGGGTTGTCTCGCGTTGGATAGCAAGATCACATGTATGAGACGCGTTTAGAGAGAGAAAGAGAGAGAGAGAGAGAGAGAGAGAGAGGATGTTAATAGAAAAAAAGAAAGAAGGATGATTAATTTCATCAGTTGGAACAGAAAGATACGACGATTTAAAAATACAGGACATACCTAATTATACATACCGTCGATGCGTAGAAAGTACCGTGTATTATATACATATGTGTATATGATAGACCCACAAAATACGCGCGAGTGTGTACGTAAGTATGTATGTGTCCGCGTGAATGAAACGTGTGCGTTTGTGTGAGAACAAGAAGGATTATCCGTTTAGGATCTCGAAAGCAGCGAAAATTGTGCTGCGATTGGTTGCAGGGTCATTTTTCTCGGGTGAAAATAATTCGATTGTCGTTAAATAAACTCTTCTATTCCATTTCCGAAGCCTCGTTCTCGAGAAATTGCACTCTTCGAGCGATTTGCTACTCCTACGAATTTTTTGAAAAATTTTGAGAAATTTAATAGTACTGATTCATGGAAATAAAATATTTTAAAATAAATCTTCAAATTTCTTTGTAAAGAGATCTTTTATAATATTAATTGTAAGAAAGAGTGAAGTTTATCGAAGAAAAGTTGAAAAGCTAGAAACTGGAGTATCAAATAATATCCTGTTGAACAAAACCGATCCACAACCTTGGATGTGCACGCGAAACTTAAATCCAAACACCAGCATGTGTCTCTGTCTGCTTTTCCTCGAGCACGAGGATTCGGAAAAAGACTCCACGATATCATTTTCTATTCTTTTCACGGAGAAAAATCATTCGACCACTGATTTTAATCTTCTGCGGTTCTACGTATGATCAGCCGCTTCTGCCGTTGTGTGAATATTTTTTAAAATATTGATCGAATCAATAAATGAAACTAAATGGAAAAATTCATATTGGACCGCAAAGGATTGACAGCACAGGTTTCATGGTGTTCCGTTTAACCGAAGAGAATAATTTACTGCTACAGATCTAATATAAAGGACAATGAACAAGTAGATAGGTCACGCTGATACATGTATATGTACCTCTAAATAACGTAAGAGACGAGAGTACGCACTTTTGTAATAGTAGTTTTGAAAGAACGAAAAAGCGATAAAAATGATAGCGATAAAGATATAAAGATGAAAAGAGTTGACGCTTGATAACACCATAGTTTTCACCAACATATCCTGGTTAAACACATCCTCTTTACGTACATACTGCATACCCTAGCTCTTATCGCAAATTCTAAGGTATTTTAATGAATAAACATAAAAAAAAATAAATAAGTTATGGTAATATTATTAATTGATTACAATTTTGATTATTTATCATTGTTTATTATTTAGGATACGTGTAAACGATGGTACAACTGAGGCAAGTATGTACTGTACATAGCTGTCACCCTTTGCCCCACCATGCGACTATATAAATATTATAAATATATAAATAAACAAATAAATATATATATATATTATATATGTATAAATACATAAAAAGAAGCCATTATTATTGCAGAACATTAATCATTGTTGTATTGATGATTATTTTGAAATACTATTGTCATTATTGTTATTATTTTAAATGTAGATCATTGTAATTATTATTATTATGGTTACGATTATTGTAATAATTAATTAGTATCATTATGATCATTACCATGATAAGGAGATGTTGAAATAAAAAATGAATAAAGCGTGTAATTTTAATTAGCGTATGTTATGAAAGTTGGATCCTCGCTCTAAGCACCATTGGATAAATTTTTTTTTAATTTTTTGTCGATTTGGATTCTACCTCAGCTTTATTGTTATAAATATTGAAAGGAGTAAAAAAAAGATAGAGACGTTTTTCTTATAATTTTTTTATTAGACAGAGGTGTTGAATTAGATTACATTTAATGAGAATTTTCAAAGCTGCAGCGACCTCAGCCTGTGATAGTTACAATGGATATTATTTAAATTAAGAATTCTGCTATGTGTCGCGTGAAACGTATAGATCGGTTATAATAAGTTCGACAGAACGGACTACAATTTTTGCGATTTTTATTAAAGGGAGAGATGTTCCCGTTTTAATATTAAAAAAAGCTCATTACCAATTAAACGAACACCAACGCACGGTCATGTATCGTTTTGATATTATTGTCGATATTAGATTTTTAAATTACATTCTGTAATAAGCTTTGCTTCGTATACGTGTAACATGTGTTATGGTTAAAAAAAAACCAACTTTTACTTTTAATGATGTTATTCAATGCGATAGAGTAACGTAATAATAAACAGCTATTAAGAATTCATATTTTTCCTTGAATTGTATTGTACTATATAGGATACGATATAATTTGTGGTACAAGTGTGGAAATAAGGGTGATTATTGGTTTAAAAATGAATTAAAAATTCAAAGAAACAGATTGATTCCATAATTTTAATAATTCTTTTCTTGTACCACAAATTTTATTACATCCTGTATAATGCAATATAGTTATACATTAGATTGATCTGAAGGGTTTATAATTTAAAGATATTATTACCAAATTCTCGTAAGCTGATAGTAATTATATTGATTTATAAAAATTATGAACTGGAATTATACGACGTAAACCTTTTGCATTAATCTAATAATTTTGTAATTTTTATCTTTAACCGCATGTGATAAAAGAAGCAGAATAAGGGAGCGCATAAAGATAAATGTAACGAGTGTCGTCGAGTGCTTTAACAATGTATAAACACACATATATATATGTAACAAACGCTGTGCGCTTGTGATCCGAAAGAATTAACGTGATTTATTCTCTTCTTTTCTTAAAATGATTCATTCTATTTTTTCATTGTATGCTGCGAAAGAAACGGCTCGAAAGTGACGAGCTTCCTTCCGTACAGTATGTTCCTTTATTAGACGAGACACGCGATGATCATTTATAATTAGCTGTAATATGTACCGCCTGCCTGTAGGGCTTCGTAATAATTTCTTCAGTATATTTACTGTATTGTGATGTTAACTTAAGCCACGGAACGAAACGTGGAAGAATTACTGGAGGTCGTTGTAACAAATCCTGCAGCTCTGAGTCGAGAGGATCTTACTTTCTGGTTTTTTCTTTTTTTTTTTTTTTTTAAGCTTGAGAAATGTCCAACAAGCGGATGTCGATTATTCTCGACGAATAAGAAAAAAAAAAACTAAAACTAAAATGAAGAAGCAAAATGTACCCCGCATAATTATCTTCGAACGATGAGATACGATGATTTGGGAACTGTACATTGTGATCAGTAAACAGACTACAATGTAGTTTGTTCGTGATTGAATGAACAAACGAAAACACTTGTGTAATAAAGTAGATATCCATAAAGATAACTGTTTCCCCTTTCATAAATCTGTTTCTTTGTTTTCAGTGAAATTTATTTTCTAACAGGATCTTATATAAAATGTTTCTTGTCTTTCATTCCATTTCAACATCGACAACGGCATCCTCGACGACGACCTGTTCCGAGGTTACAGGAGCTTGCACGGCGGGCAATGGATCAGGAGATCTGGTGTAAGTATTACTAGTCAAATGTTCTTTAAAATATTCACCACCCTTCTCTTCGTATTCCTTCTTGCTTACTAAAAATTCTGGGAGGTTTCCATTTAAGCCAAAGTCTCTAGCACCGTACCATGCGTCTATGCTGGTATTCTTGGCGATATTTATTTGAAAATTGGAACCAAACGGTCGGATTTCACGGAGCTCGCGATTCAACCTCTCTAATAAACCAGGAAATTTTGCCGGTCCACCGGTGAGAAATATGTTTCCTACGAGACGTGCCTGCATTTCGGCTGGATAAAGCTTCAACACAAATTCTATTGTTTCAGCAATGCCTGCTTCCACGGAACCAATCATGAATGGTTGAAATAATATTTCTGGAGCTCTCAGGCGTTCCACTCCCACGTGTAACTGATGGGTTTCTCCGGGTACCAGGGGAACGTTCGATCCAGCTCCATCGAATTCTGGATCGTGATGTCTTAATACGTCCTCCAGTTCCAGGAGCTTTTCTTGTTCTAATTCTGAATCTGAATCTCCACCTTCCTGTATGAAGATATACCATTTTAAAAATACAAGATTGGAAATAAATGAAAACAAATAGAAGCATGCACAAACCCTGTTGATAACTTTATAAACGTCCCAGTCTTCGTCTCTCATACCAAAATCATCATCGCGTTTCTCTTTTCTTGCTAATTGACTTATTATACGCATTCTTTCTTGCGCGGCTGCTGTTCTACGTTTTGCCATATCTTGTCTGCGTTGCCTCTTCGCCATTCGTTTTTCCAATATTTCTTGCCTATTATATACGAAAAATTGTGTTTATATATGATCAAAAAGATGGCAATAAATATTTAACTACCTTTTCTTTCTTACACCAGCTATCCATTCATCAAAATCCTGCTGATCTTTCGGCTGCAAACTTGATTTGATTTTCGGCTTCTGTTCCTCCATTGCAATGTTTTCTTCCTGTGAATTAGCTGCGACTATTTTCTGTCGGGTTCGTTCTACTTTTGCTTGTAAATTATTAATCATTTTTATTAAATCCGCTTCATTCGCAAGAGAATAGGTTTTTAATGCTTGATCAAACTCGTCAGTTTCTCCTTCTTCTAGTAAATCTTGAACAGCTAATAACTGATTCAGCTGCTCTTCATCTTCTGCTAACTATAAGTAATAATTATTTGAAAATTCTTGTATAAATAAAATTTAATTTCTTTATGTACAGAGGTATTACTAACCCTTTCTTCTCTTTTCCGTGCATTTATTTCCATTAATCTTCTAGCTAACTCCCGTTTTCTCTCCTTCTGTTGCTCCACTGTTAAACCAGGAGCACTTGAAGGAGCAATATAAGGTAATTGTACCCTTAACACATTTGCATCATAATGATCCGGATCTGCCCATTTAGAAATTTCTTCTTGGTAATTTAAAGCTATCATTGAATGTTCATGAATTAATTCCTATGAAATAAGAGAACAAGTGTTTGAAACGGTAAGAAGGATGAGAAATGTGTCATTTACAAACCTCTGCTCGACTAGGTGTGATAGCATTTACATGCACTGGATATTTTAGTTGCAGTAGTCTATGCATATAAGATGTAATGTGATATCCACCAACATTGATCCTCCTTGAATTAACAGGATCTGCTTTACCATCTAATATGGGTATTATATGTGTGGTATGATATCCAATGCTAATTATTAAACCATCCGGTGGACAGTTATTGTGTTGATAAGAAAATAAACAGTCCACTCCATACGCGATTGCAGGTACATTATAGCATTCAAATAACAGCTCTGCCATCACTAAAAAACGTATAATTAATACAGATTATAAATACACATAATATTAAATGTATCTTCTTACAATTTCTTGAATAATTAGGATTCAGAAATGCCTCAGTTAAAATAACTGGGTGATTTATAGAGCCTTCTGTATCTATTCCCATATGAGTAAATGTGTAATCAAATATCTGTTCTTGGGCTTCGAAATGTGTTACTACATTTCTGTCAAATTGCGTTTTTAATTGAAATCGAACAGCTTCAATGTTTGCTATGTCATTTCCAACCTGAGGCTCGCCATCCTTCTTGCCCCGTTCTTTCCTTGGCTTTGCAATAAGATTTTTAAATATTAACTGAGGTTCCTTTTCTGTTGCCCATCCAACTCTACAGTTATATGACCCTAATATAAAACATTTATCCATTTTTACTATAATATTGTATACATTATATAAGTTATTTTCCTAACCATTATCAAAGACGAGTGGAGTTGCTTCAGTCTTTACTCTGTCCGGATAGGGATGAATTATATCCGGCACAGCCTTTACATCCTTCAATTCTAAAATCTCCATTTTATTTAAACATCAATCTCCCTTAAAAAAACGATTATAGAACTTGAATAAGACAAGAACCTGATCGTTTTCAATACAGTTAGCAGTGATTTGATCTTCGTGCATATTATGTTTTTAATTTATTAAAGATGAAACAGTCATTGAATGTTGTATATACAGGGTGGACCACGCAATTGTTTCGAGATATAACTCCGTTATTAGCGCATTCATGAAAAAATGCCAAAGATAAATGGTTCGAAGGGCACTATATCCGTAGGACCTTGGATTTTCTATAGTGCAAACATTGCATGTGCAATTATCAATTGCATCATTTTTTTTAATCAAAGAGAATCAGAATTGGGCCATCCAATTGTCAGTGGAAGGTGTGGTAAAAGAGGAACTGGTAAAACAGGCATGATTATTATACCGGCTGTGCTCTCTGGATACAGACTAAATCACAGCCGACTCTAGTACTAGCCATGCTGAACAACGTGGCAACACCGCTCACGTGACAATCGGGAGTCCTATTTTCAAAAACAGAGTTCTGTGCTCGGAATTGTAATTAACGTCTTTTTTAATTAAAAGCTGTAGTAATATACACTATTTTGTGTTAATTATGTATAAACAATATATAAACGTTGCAACTATGGCAAATAGAAGTGATGTGGTAGTATAAAATTGTTATAAATGTGATATATATTTTGTGTACTCTCGAAGTAGTTTGGTGTTGTGAAGCATGATATTTAAAATATTTACAGTGGTTTCAAGAAAATTTAGGTATGAAGCAAAATGAAACCATCTTTGGATCAAATTGAAACATTTAAGAATTGATAAACGTGTATATAAGTTAATAAAAACCTTGAAACAAGCGAAATTATTGGAACGAAACCAGAGAGGTTATGTGAAGTCCAGAGAGTAGTCGGGAGTCTGACGCAGTCTGACGACGTTGATTGGCTAAGAGTCTGGGAGTCCGGGAGGCAGATAGAGTAGGGTAAGTGTTGATGTATTCAGACCGGACTCCCGCGGTGTTGCCATTTTTACTTCAGCACGGCTAGTACTAGAGTCGGCTGTGGTGGTGTCCTCCCCCAGGTGATGCTGAAATAACAACAGTCTTATAGCGAGGAGTGCAGATCTACTTACTTACATATGTATATCTATATTTTATTTTCTGCGTTCATTTAATTTGCTGTATTTATCCTCTTAGCTATTTGAATAAACTCATTAGGAAGACAAACGTGTTGATTTTATTACACCCGTGTGCATCCCTTACATCCCTGCTTTCTTTATATCCTTGCACCCTTTACATCTCTGTCACCTATACATCTCTTTATCACTTACATCCTTGAAATCACGATTTCAGCCTTCGTAACAGCGCCTCCTGGCGGCATAAAAAGGAACTAAAGTGCGATTAAATGTAGCGCCTCCCAGGCGTACAAAATCCGGACTATTCAAATTTTCCTGGAAAACAGCACCGCCTGGCGGCGAAAATTTGAACTGAATTTTGCACGATTTTTCTCTGCGATGCTGGGATGTTAGGGGTGCGGGGGTATACTATCATCGGCTACACTTCCGAAAACCTCCATGCACTAAATTAGCTCAAATTTTGGAAATAGATTCTTTTTTGATAAAAATGATGATTGCGAGAAGGATTTGTGGCGACTCGAAAAAAAATTTATCACATGAATGTCACTCTCTATTTTACCAGCATAGTATCTACATCTACTGTTATCTACGCTCTCTATTTACAAAGCCATTGCGACAGTTAAAAACCAATAGACATGATAACAATGATTTTGGCATACGTGGCCAATCGCCTTACGGTGGCTGGAATATTCATTTGACCTAACCTAACCTAATTCACTGAAGCTTGGATTAAAACTTGGATTAGGTTTGTATAAAAGTTTTATTTATATGCAGAATACACATAATTAATATCATCAGGTACTTAATTGATAATACATTGTAATACTAGTATTCTTGATACATCGATACCTTTTAAAAAACAATTAAAAATACCAGATTTCATAGCATCAGAACTGCCTTCAAATCTGCCTCAAGTATTTGTAGCGTTGACTACACACTCACACGAGATTAATCTGTCTTATCCGTCGAGGAAAAAGAATCAACACGGTAATGGTTTAACTTGTTTATTGCAGAGTGCACTAGCTGCAAATTCTTATAACTAATTGTTTTTAAATAAATTCAAACTATAAACAAACTTAATTATGCGCACTTTGTCTAAATTACAATGAACTAACATGTTAACACTTCGACGGTTCGCGTGAGAAGAAAGCGTTTTCCTTCTCTGAGAAAAACCTTGCGCGCCCCGGAAGTATGTGGCTTCTTTTTTTCATCTTGTGCAAACGTACCGGAAATCCACTTTCCGCGTCGGTAAAGTTGCTACTCTATACCCCGCCACACTACCCCCCTCCGAGTCACGCGACCCGTCAGGGAGAGTAGACGATACTCTAGCATACTCTAGTTCTCCTAGGCTGTACAATTTCATCTGCTGTTTCAATAAATGCAGGCTTTAAACGTTCCGTCGAAATGACCTGTTCGCAACCACGGTACCTAATCAAATACGCACTATCCGAGATACGTTCGACAACGCGATGTGAACCCTCATACGGCTGCTCAAAAGGTTTTCTAACAGCATCCACACGTACGAATACATGAGTACACGTATGCAAATCCGACACAAAATGAGACTTTCTGCAATGATGCACCGTCGGTTTTGGTCTAATCCGACGCATCGCATCGCGAAATCTATCCAAAACGAAATCATGGCATCTATCCATATCCACAAAGAATTCTCCAGGCAATCTGAGTGGTACCCCGTACACCATCTCCGCCGCAGATGCCCCAAGATTTTCCTTAAAACTACATCTTAAACCTAATAATACCGTAGGGAGCACCGCGACCCAATTGTGCGATTCATGGCACATTACCGCTGCCTTCAGAGATCCATGCCATCTTTCTATCATTCCGTTCGATGCCGGATGATACGCCGTGGTCCTAATTCTCCTAAGTTAACGCGTTAAAAAGACGGGCTTCGAACTGAACCCTTCGATCCGTAGTGATCGTAACCGGAGCCTCAAACCTGGCTACCCACGTGGCATAGAACTCTGAAACAACGATCTCAGCAGTGGCATCCTTAATAGGAATTGCCTCAGGCCACCTGGAGAACCTATCAATCATCGTTAGGCAATATTTCAAACCGTTAACTTGAGGAAGTGGTCCAACCAGATCTAAATGGACGTGCTCGAAATGGCCATGTGGAATCGCTATATTTTGCGGAAGATTCACCGTATGTCGTGCTATCTCACTTCGCTGGCATTGAACATAAGTTTTGGCCCATTCCAGAATGTCTCGATTCATCCTGGGCCACACGAACCTACCACTAATTAATTTTTTAGTGGCCCTGCCACTAGGGTGCGAAAGACCATGCACCACATCAAAAATTTGCTTCCTCAACGTTGCTGGGATATAATGCCTAATATTACTCGCAGACACGTCACAATAAACTACGTGATCTGAATTATCTAGCTTTAACTGTCTAAGTTGCAAGGCTGAGCTACCCTCTAACAAACGCATCAGCTCTGCATCAGTTTTCTGATGCTCGGCCACTTCCTGCGTGCTTATCACAACTGGTATATTTATCACGTCTAACCGTGACAACGCATCAGCCACTTCGTTACTGGTTCCTGGAGTGTGGGTTATATACGTCGTGAACTGTCCAATGTAGTCAAGTTGCCGTAATTGTCTAGGTGAGGCTTTATCTGACTTTTGAATGTACGCGTAAATCAACGGTTTATGGTCAGTCTGTATTGTAAAGTTACGTCCTTCCCATAAATGCTTAAAATGTTTCACGGATTTAAAAATGGCAGTTAGTTCCCTGTCGTATGTACAGGGTGTAAAAAAATTAAATGTCACGACCTATATAGGGTGATTCTACACCTCTGGATCGGTGTGTCGGACCACTTGGCGTGTCGAACTTTAACACAGGGGATGGCAGTCTTTAACAGTGGGATCCGGAAAATTCATCGCCCACAATTCACCGCCAGCAATTCACCGCCGCGTCAATTCATCGCATCCGCAGTTCACTGCAGAGATGTGTTTGGTCAAATAAAAAATAATATAATACATCATGCAATGGAGAATTGTTTTTAAGGCTGAACTATACTTTAGGGGACACAAAATTATCCACTTTTTTTTTCTCAATCTAATAGTTTTCGATGCGTAGAATTCAAAAATGCAGGTTTTAACGAGCGTGTAAAGTTTGACACTTTTAGTGCATTTGCTACGTTACTGCGACGCCACATTGGCTTCTTGTCCAATGAACGGTGTCGCCAGCAGCAGACAGAACCACGTGGGTGACGACCATTTTAGCGGGCAAAGTCAAATGTTTTAGTACATTTAAAACGAAGTTCAACCGCAGTCGATGCTTAAAAAAGTCTTAAGCTCTTATGAATTCATAGTCGAATAAGTCCGCCTTATTTGTAGAAAACGAGTTCTTATTTGGCTTCATTGAGGTTATGTTTTTAAGTCGACGATATTGAGGACTTAAGCACGCGTTTGAAGGTGTTATTGTACAGTGATGGGACGGGAGGGTGTAGGTTAGGGTACACGAATACGGTAAAAGAGATTAAAATCACCGATCCCTCCTGCGATGCAGCTGTTAATTTGTTTGCGGTATTATGCTACTGCAAGTTTTCAAGTAAGTTATATAAATATATCACTATTCCTAAAAGAAGTAGAAAAAAATAAAGATTATCTATATATGTACTGTAATTGTAGCTTATTCTGGGAGACACAATGAATGTTTCTCAGCCCATAGTCTCCCGCATAGTATTTAGGGTGAGTTCACTAATAGGCAGTCTGATGATGGACTATATCAAGTTTCCCAGGGATCCAGACAATAGCACTCAAAATCGCAGGTTATTCAATAATCTGGGACAGGGAAACGGAGCTATTGGTTTACCAGGTGTGGATTTTATATCATTATAACTTTTTCTATATACACATATACATACATACATATACAATGTAATTGATTTATCAGGTGTGGATGGCGCTATTGATTGCACCCACATTAGATTAACAGCATCCAGGTTCAACAACATGGAAGAAATGTACAGAAATAGAAAAGGATATTTTTCATTGAATGTTCAGGTATGTCATTAAGTTATTTATTTTACCCAATATTCATTGAAATGAACCATATTAATATTTTACTCGACTGATTGATGCACAAATTAACATTAAATTATTCGATCGACACAGGTACAATGAAATCCAGATCAGGACCGGACAGATAGTAGAAAGAACGTTCGGTGTTTGGACGCGCCGTTTTCCATGTCGTACAAGGGGTTTAACAATGAAGTTCTTATGTTCTACAACAACGGTAGTTGCATGTGCTGTGTTGCATAATTTAGCCCTAATTTTCAATGACATTCTTGTAGAAGAAGATGAAATTGAAAACCAAAAGGAAGATGGAGAAGAATTATTAGGAAACGTGGAAAATGTTAATGGCATTGATGGATTTGCTACACGTGAAGCACTCATTGCTTGTACGTTTCGTTGAGTAATTGTGTCAAATGAAATGTAGTAAGGGGTTTTTTATGCCTATCAAGCCAATAAATAATCATTATTCTTTCGGCTCAAATTGGTTTAATTTATTGATTAAAATACCCTCATTCTCAGTCATATCACAACCTATACCTTGAACCAGTAATTTCAGTCGTAAGTTTAATTTTGTGTTATTTTGTGTTCGTATTTCAGAATGAAACTTTAAATATAAGAGATTTTTATAACGTATGTGATAACATTAATTATAAAATTGTTCTTAATAAATTTGGCTTTTTTTATTAATAAATTTGGCTCTGTCTATCGCTCGCTCAATTATTTGAATTCAATTCAAAAACAGCGTCACTAAGTAAGAAATAATGCTACATTTTCAAGAATCATTTTCATTGGTTGTTACAGTAGAAAATCGAAGGAAACAGCCGAATGTCAAATAAGCATTGCTTAAGCATGGACTTCACTAAGCAAAGCTTAAGCACAGTATAGCAAAGAACAGTAGGATCACTCTGCCAAAAAGCGTACCAATAATTGTCGCTCGCGCATGACCGAATCGCACAACCAACAATATGGCGGCTGTGAATATATATGATAATAGTTTCTTGCATTTTAACCTCTGTTACTTCTAAAACATTCCTGTTGCGATAATGTTCTTTCCTATACTTACTGTGCCAATAATGTAGAAATGACAAGAGCAGCCGAACTCTGCCAAACCCGCAGAGCTCACACGGGCACGTGGGACAACGCAATTGTGTTAGATGAAACAATTGAAGTAGGGGAGTCACTGGGACGTCGTGGAGAGGGTAAAAATTTGTCCCACGTCCCACGATTCTGGCATTGACTGGCATCACTGCCGTCAGCGCCTCCACCATCTTAGCTAGCCTGTCAATCCGGTTCTGCATGGAACTGGTGCTGCCGCCACCGTCCCTGTGCAATGACACTGAACTTGGAGTGCGTGACGCCGCCGCGATTGTAACGGAATGCATCTCCTGAATTTTATCCGCCTGCAACGCCAAATTGGCCAGACTCGTGTTGCTGATAACCAAAATGCTTCTTATATTTTCCGGAAACTGCTCCAAAAAGAGAGAACGAAGTACAACTTCGCTGATCTGATTTCCAGCCAAATTCCGAAGCTTCTGCAAGTAATGAGAGGGTTTTTCGTCTCCCAAATGACTGCTCCGAAGAACACGTCGTAGCTTCGCTTTTGCAGATTCATCAAAAGAATTGATGAGCCTTTCCTTGATGGCGTCGTACTTCCCCCGGGCTGGAGGAGACGTCAACAAATCCGCCACAAACGGAAGCACTGACCGGTCCAATTGCGCAATAATATGGTGATACTTTGTATCATCCCCAGTAATGCGCGCTATATTAAACATCGACTCCACCTGGATGAACCACATCCCTGGATTCTTCTTCCAAAAAGGAGGCAACTTCTTCAACGTGGCTGCCGCGATGGTCGCGTCCAACGCGGGGTCTTCTGTAGAGCGACGAGCGTCTTCGGGCTGGTTCGCCATATTGGGCACTACCCTTGTAGGCGAGCGTGAGACCGCCATTTTATGTCAAGACTACTTCTTTTTCTTCCTTTCCGTGGAATGTAAAAGAAACTCTTCCTTTTGTCGGGGTCACCAATTGTAGCGTTGACTACACACTCACGCGAGATTAATCTGTCTTATCCGTCGAGGAAAAAGAATCAACACGGTAATGGTTTAACTTGTTTATTGCAAAGTGCACTAGCTGCAAATTCTTATAACTAATTGTTTTTAACTAAACTCAATCTATGAACAAACTTAATTAGCTATTAAATGTTTGGCATCGCACACAAAAAACTGCGGAACTATGCGCACTTCGTCTAAATTACAATGAACTACCATGTTTACACTTCGACGGTTCGCGTGAGAAGAAAGCGTTTTCCTTCTCTGAGAAAAACCTTGCGCGCCCCGGAAGTATGTGGCTCCTTTTTTTTCATCTTGTGCAAACTTACCGGAAATGCACTTTCCGCGTCGGTAAAGTTGCTACTCTATACGCCGCCACATATTCCTGCTGTTACAATTGCATCGGTAAAGTAGGGAAGGACACCCAAATGATAAAAACTTTTTTCTCGAGTCGCCGAAAATCCTTCTTGGAATCATCATTTTTATTAAAAAGAAACCTATTTCCAAAATTTCAGCCAATTTGGAACATGGAGGTTTTCGGAAGTAAAAGTTTTTTTGAAATACAAGTTTAACAAACAGTTAGGTGAAACTTCGACGCAATATTGACTCTACCCTGCATCCAATCCTTTGCTGGCCGCCAGTTGGACTTTATTCGTTGGGTGTGAGTACCATCAGTTCCTATCAAATCTGAGGGGATATTTTTTATAAAAAAAAACTAACCTTAGGTACAGTAAAAGCTGGATATATGCAACAAACATTAGGACCCAGACGTTGCATATATCCAGTCGAGGTGTCGAATCTCGGGTTACACGGGACGAGCAGCCAAGCGTGAACGTAGAAAAGGACAGACAGTGGCGGAAAGAGAGAGGTCCGATGATCAAAGGAAAGAGCCGAAACGTATCGGTGTGACTAATACTAATTGAATCAAAAAACTTTTTTATTTTTGACTTTTTTTTAATGAAACTTGTACTAGCGCATTGGTGAGATTTTTGTGATTAAAGTGGTACCAAACACGATATAGTTTGAATTATAATTACTTGCTAAAATTGATGTTAAAAGTAGCGAAAAGCAAAGGACGATTGGAAATGAAAACCGGTTGCGGTGTCGGCTCGGGTTTCAAACGTTGCATATATCCAGCCAAGGTGTCGATTCTGGGCATTTAAACGTTGCATATATCCAGTCTTGGTACCGATTCTGTGTCCGTACAAATCGTTTGTACCGTGCCGCGTTACCTATTCTACGTTCGTACAAATCGTTTGTACCGTGCCGCGATACCTATTCTACGTTCGTACACGTTGCATGTTGCATGTTGCGTGTTTGATGTATCTTTGGTGTACGGCCTGCCTTATACATATGTACAGTTTTATTATTATTTTAATAAATAAATATAATTCAAATCATATCGTGTTTGGTACCATCTTAATCAGAAAAATCTCACAAATGCGTTAGTAAAAGTTTCATTAAGAAAAAGTTAAAAATAAAAAAGTTTTATCGTTCAATTAGTATTAGTCACACCGATATTACGGTCGGATCATATTAAGCCGAGTATCCACCTGTATCCAACGCCCGTATCGTATCACCGTTCCGAACCCTTTTGAATAGGCAGACGTTGCCTCGTTGCATGCCACGGCGTGCTACGGCTCGGACAATATTTCTTCGTTTCTTGATAGAAACGGTTCGGCAATAGGACTGGGCCACTACAGGCGAGGAGTTTCGTTTTGCTGCGTGCCGTTCCAAAGGAACGGAGGCAACGGACCCATCCGAAAAATTTGTCGATTCTTTGCCGTTGCATCGAAGGAAAGGTTTATGCATTTGCACTTGACATAGCGTTTCGTGCCGTCATTTAGGTTTCAATTTATTTGAAATCTTGCAGTATTATTGGATTCATTTCAAAATCGATGAAATTATTTATGAACTTAATCTAATTTAATTTAGACAAATTTTATCGTCTAAATATATTTAAACAGATCAATTATCTTCGGTGATACGCTGTACATAAAAGAGCAATGTTAATAAGAACCTCTGTGATTATTGAAAAAGAACAATGTTAATTTTCCAGAGATTTTTCCGTTGCCGAGTATCGAAAGTTCTATTGGGCTGTGATACGGAGGTGAAGGAACGGGCCGATCCGAAAATTGTCGGTTTCTTGCTATTCAAAGGATAGGTTCGGAGACCACTTGAAACGTAAAAACAACATACCCAGGCGAAGGCCCGAAATGCTATGTCAAGTGGAAACATGACACTTGAGGCTCGAGATAATATGATCTGGAATCGGATATATCAGTGAGATAATACTAATGCAATGACTGAACTTTGTTATTTTTCATTTTTTTCTTATAAAACTTTTACCAAGATATTTGTGACGTTTTTCTGATTAAAATGATACCAAACACGATATGGTTAGGACAATTACAATAAAGAAACAGCATGCAGGAAATCGAAACTTCTCGCCTATAGGAGTTTCTTTCAAGAAACGAAGAAATATTGTCCGAGCCGTAGCACGCCGTGGCATGCAACGAGGCAACGTCTGCCTATTCAAAAGGGTTCGGAACGGTAATACGATACGGGCGTTTGATACAGGTGGATACTCGGCTTTACACGGTTTCCTCACCGAGCGGCTCGGTTCGACTTAGGGGGATCCCCCCAAGTGGAGGGGATAGCGATGTTGCATATATCCAGCCAAACTTTTGTTGCATATATCCAGCTTTTACTGTATACGGGGTAGTTTAGGCCGCCACTTACGTAATTCTGTTTTACCGACGGCGACTCCATTCATTGGACAATATGGCGTCGTACTGACCTGTCAAAGTACGCCAAGTAAATAACACATTTTTATGAACTCGTATCTTTTAAACTATTGGCAAAGAGGAGGTATAACAAGAGGCGACGCTCCCGGCGGCACCTTTGATGTCAACGATTCGCTGTCCCTTTAAATGGGTTGTATCAACGAGCTGGAAGTTTGAATGAATTGGATGTAATACTTTCTTTTCATAACAATCTTCACAGCCGACTCTAGTACTAGCCATGCTGAACAACGTGGCAACACCGCTCACGTGACAATCGGGAGTCCTATTTTCAAAAACAGAGTCCTGTGCTCGGAATTGTAATTAACGTCTTTTTTAATTAAAAGCTGTAGTAATATACACTATTTGGTGTTAATTATGTATAAACAATATATAAACGTTGCAACTATGGCAAATAGAAGTGATGTGGTAGTATAAAATTGTTATAAATGTGATATATATTTTGTGTACTCTCGAAGTAGTTTGGTGTTGTGAAGCATGATATTTAAAATATTTACAGTGGTTTCAAGAAAATTTAGGTATGAAGCAAAATGAAACCATCTTTGGATCAAATTGAAACATTTAAGAATTGATAAACGTGTATATAAGTTAATAAAAACCTTGAAACAAGCGAAATGATTGGATCGAAACCAAAGAGGTTATGTGAAGTCCAGAGAGTGTCGGGAGTCTGACGACGTTGATTGGCTGAGAGTCTGGGAGTCCGGGAGGCAGATAGAGTAGGGTAGGTGTTGATATATTCAGACCGGACTCTCGCGGTGTTGCCATTTTTACTTCAGCACGGCTAGTACTAGAGTCGGCTGTGGTCCGTTGCGGAAAATAGGGATATTCGGGGATTTTAGGTGCAGGTGCGACACTCCGTGGAGCGCGGAGGCACTCCGCTCTCAAGGCGCGGATATGAAAATAATAAACTATTATTTCGTTTCCTGTACTTTAATATTTCAAGGTCAATTTAAAGCAGATCTTTTACTTCGTGTTAACAAGGCTTTAGAAATTGTTGTGCGAGAACAATTTGTCCGTAACGAATGACAAAATCATTCTAACGATTCTGCGCTTGGCGGAGGAGATCTTCGCGCGTTGTCCGTCGATGCCCCTTCCTACGTGGATCCTGGATCCTCCCTCAAGATCATCCCTCGTCCAATGGTGGAGGAGTCCACCCCGTCTTGTGTGGGCCCCTTCTCCTGGCTGTGGTCCACCCTCAGGCGCGAGGAAGTGGAGGCGCTCCGCCAAGACGCTAGAACGTTGCAGCGCATATGTGCTACGAGAAAGCGTGAGACCCAGAGAAATTAGGAAACGACAAGACCTTGTACTTGCCAAAGCAACTCTCGAGGAAATTTACGACCCTCTCAGAGTGCATGAATAGACAGGATATCGAAAAAGACTTCGTAGCTTTTAAGGACCGTTCGTGACTTGGTCGAAAACAACGAATTGGCTATGGTCTATCATAAATTAGTCTTTTAGGAACTTTCGAAGTGAAGCTATTCCATTCTCTGGATTTCCGACCTTCTCTCAGCTCGATCACCCACGTCGAGGGGTTTACAATTTACTCTTTGTCTATTTATATAAACGTACGCACAGACGATGTTCGAATTTCGCTCTTAATTTATGACCATCCATACAAATGTCCTCGAAGAACATTCAAGACATATTGATACAATAGACTATCGATAAATATTCCCATGGCAGTGTCGCCACACCACTCTAAACATATTCACGTGATAGCATTTCACGTTACAACTGTTGCGAACCTCGCCTGTATGTATGTGTGCAATATCGTGTGAATTTAGCTGCAAGCTTGTAATCACAAGCATTGAATGAAATGTAATATGGCGACGATGCCATAAGAGTATGGTTGCAGCATGTCTGCATTATGTTATATCAATGCTCATAAATTAGGAGCCAAATTCAAAAGTAATAAACAAACAAAAGATAGGACATTGTAAATCGTTCAGCGCGGGTGGTCGTGCTGGGAGAGAGTTGGAAATCCGGAGAAATAAGACTGTCACACTTGAAGTTTCTAAGAAACTAATTTATTGCGGGCCGTATCTAATTCGTTACTCTTAACGAAAATCATGTTGATTCTTGAAACTGTCGAAGTCTCTTCGACATCCTGCTTATTTACAGAGGGTCGTAAATTTTCTTAAGGGTTGCCTTGGCTCGCTAGCGCGAGACCTTTTTATCTTTTGTTCTCTCTGGATCCCACGCTTTCTCTTAGCACGGGTGCATGGAATCGTTCTCGAGTCTTGGCGGAGTACCACCATCTTCCAGTCGCCTGAGGGTGGACCGAAGCCAGAGAGAGGGACCGCCTCCGGACAAAGATGGGCTCCCCCACCATTGGGCCAGGGATGATCCTGAGGGAGGATTCAGGATCCAGCGAGGAGGGGATGGCAGCCAACATCGATCGAAGATCTTCACCGCCAAGCTCAGAACGATTCAAAGCTTCAACCCGTCTAGATATAAATTTTGAAAAGGAAATAAAGTTATTATCAAAAAATATCTTTTAAAACGCAAGGAGTTTTCATTTATTAAAAGTCGAGCCGCGAGCAGAGCGCTTCAGCGCTCCACGGGCACCTTACCCACGTTCGGCATATTATAAAGAAAATCCCTAGAACATTAAATCCACACGCAACACAACCTACCCTTTGATCTGTAACGTGAAACGTTATCACGTGAATATGTTTAGAGTGGTGTGGCGACACTGCCATGGGAATATTTATCGATAGTCTATTGTATCGATATCTTTCTAAAGATATCGCTCTAAATTAAGAGCGAAATTCAAACATCGTCTATGCGTACCCTTATATAAATAGACAAAGAGTAAATTGTAAACCCCTCGACGTGGGTGATAGAGCTGAGAGAAGGCCGGAAGTCCAGAGAATGGAATAGTTTCACTTCGAAAATTCCTAAAAAACTAATTTATGATAGACCATAGCCAATTCGTTGTTTTCGACCAAGTCACGAACGGTCCTTAAAGGTTACGAAGTCTTTTTCGATATCCTGTCTTTTCATGCACTCTAAGAGGGTCGTAAATTTCCTCAAGAGTTGCTTTGGCAAGTACAAGGTCTTGTCGTTTTCTAATTTCTCTGGTTCCCACGCTTTCTCGTCGCACATGTGCGCTGCAACGTTCTAGCATCTTGGCGGAGCGCCTCCACTTCCACGCGCCTGAGGGTGGACCATGGCCAGGAGAAGGGGCCTACACAGGACGGAGTGGACTCCTCCACCATTGGACGAGGGATGATCCTGAGGGAGGATCCAGGATCCACCAAGGAAGGGGCATCGACCGACAACGCGCGATCTCCTCCGCCAAACGTAGAACGTTCAGAATGATTTTGTCGCTTGATCGTTCTCGCACAGCAAATTCTTAAGGCTCATAAGATCTGTTTAGAATTGAACTTGGAAATATTAAAGACCAACAAAGTGAATCATTAACAGTTTTATTAATTTGCACATCCGCGCCTTGAGAGCGAAGCGCTTCCGCGCTCCACGGGTTGTTACACCTGCTCCTAATCCTAAAATATCCCTATATACCGCGACGGGCACGCTACAGATCTAACTGCGTTTGGGGGTGCCTGAAATCCCAAAATCATGTTCCCTCGAAAATAAAGGAATGTTCAGTCTTGGAGATAGAAGTAGTTACTGCTTAAAGTTTGAATTGTTTTGTGTCTTGTAGTTTTACCAAGTATGAGAAATGGCTCAAAAGCGCAAAAATCGTTCTGGGAAAGATGATTATGAATATGATCCTGCTCCTAAGCATCTTCAGGTAGCACATATAAAACAGCAAGAGAAACGATTAATTGTTATTCTAGAAAAAGCTCAATTGGAATCTGTTAAAGTAAGGTTATATATTTTGTTTATTTTCAAAATAAGGCCTTGTAAATCTATCTTGCTAACTTGTAAATTATTTTTGTATTACTTGTCTCACACTAATAATTTATTGTTATATTCCTAGCAAACGGACCGTTCATCGATTCTGACATGTTATATTCCGTTGGATTAATCTTGTTGAGTATATTACTTATTTCTATGTCATTGTTTGCGGAAATTCGTTTTTTTGTGCAAAATTTGCTGTAAACTTTCAAGAAAAAGGTATGGTTAAGTATGTTTTTGATATATTTATGAACAGAATCAAATGACAGTCTAACTATATTAATTTTACAGAGGTACATACATATGAACTTATATGTATGTATATACAGACCCAGTGTAAAATACAAGAATAAAAAATAAAGTATATTTTATACTTTGTCTAAAAAGACAATAGGTTAGGTTAGGTTATATTTAATCCCTGACGGTGTCAGTCGGCCAGCAATATTTCAGTATCAGTATCTTTACTTTCAACAGGCATCAAAGATATCTGCATTTCCACATTATAAAGCTTGTACCTTAATTGTGAATGTTTAAAAATCTTTTTTTGACGCGTCATAGGCCTTCCAACTGTAGGATATCATAGCAGTGCTTGGCTTAATCCATTCTTTTATAACAATAATTATGGTTTTAGTATCTATGTTTTCAACAGGCATCAAAAGTATCTTTATACTTTTTCCTTTATTTCTACCAAATACTCATTGTCCTTCTATGTAATAGGTTGTACCTTATTCTATTCAACTTTTGACATCAGAAATCTTTGTTCTCGCTAAGATTTCTACATCCTGTAACAGTCAGTCTACATATCCATTTTTCATTCGTATTGCATTGCCACATTATGGACAATTAATTTCTTTTTTTAAACATCTTATCCTACAGGAATTTGAAAAATAGAATTCAAATAATGTGGACTGAATATACCGACAGTCATTTGTTTGTGTTCATAAATGTATCAAAAACATATTTAACCATACTATTTTTTCGAAACTTCATAGCAAATTTCAAAAGAACACATGAATTACTGCAAAAAAAAAACAAACACCTCAATAATGTATTCAAAAAGACGAATTTAACGATGTATAACATGTCAAAATCGGTGAACGGTCTATTTCCTAGGAATGTTCCAAAATAAAATATAGCCATACATATATAAGTCCATAAATATAATTTTTAAGTTATATTTAAATATTTAAATTGTTACAGGTGGGGAATAGCTTTGAATTATTAAACTGTGATGATCATGTGAGTATTTTAAAGAAGAATAATCGTGATTCTGGCTCATGTAGGCCAGATATTGCTCATCAATGCTTATTAATGTTGATGGATAGCCCATTAAATAGAGCTGGGCTATTACAAGTTTATATTCATACAGAAAAGAATGTGTTGATAGAAGTAAATCCCCAAACAAGGATACCAAGAACATTTAAGCGTTTTGCTGGACTTATGGGTAAGAATTACACGGACTGATACCTTACAAGGAATTTACCATAACATATTCAACATTTATGTTTTCCAGTGCAATTATTGCATAAATTTAGTGTTCGTGCATCTGATGGACCAATGAAACTATTAAAAGTAATTAAAAATCCAGTCACAGATCATTTACCAGTTGGCTGTCGTAAAATTGTAATGTCATTTAGCGCCAATAAAGTACAAAATCCAAGAGAATTGGTACCAGCAAATGAACCAATTGCTATTGTAGTGGGTGCAATGGCTCATGGTCAAGTAAGCATAAATATATAATATTCAAATTTAATGCGATACAAAAATATGTTTTATAATTTTAATTAACATCTACTGAAATTCTAGGTAAACCCAGATTACTCAGAGGATACTATATCTATTAGTAATTATCCTCTATCTGGAGCTTTAACGTGCAGTAAGTTGTGTACTGCATTTGAAGAAGTTTGGGGAATAATTTGAATGATAACTGTAATATGACAACATAAAGTTTTTACTTGTAATTCAAGTTGAATGTTTGTTATTTATTTTTATACGAACTTAAATAATTTTTATCATCATAAATGACGATAAAAATATGCAATATGTAAATATAAATAAAACCATGAAGATACAATATTTCCTATTGAATTTGCATTAATTACATGTATTTATCGATTAAAGTGTTTTTATATTTTTAATTTAACATTTGCATGTAAAGGAAAAATCAAGCACGATTGCACAACTTTCGACGGAAAATTCTGAACAGAATGACTCATCATTGTTAGTTTTAAAGCGATTGGTTGTAACAAAGACTCTACATATGTAAACCAATCGCTGTTCAGAACGCAGAAAACTTAATAGCAACCGGAAGGATATTACGTGGCGCTAACATCGTTCTCAATATCTAGGTAGTTTTTTCTTGACTTTCGTATTCCATTACGTCATCAAAGTAAAAATGGTCGTTAATGTGAAGTATTTTGAACACTCTTTTATCTTCACATAACTTACTTCATAGAAATTAGATTGTTGTTTTCTTAAATTTAAAATCTATTATATTTGTGATCAAGTACTTAAGTTGAAAGTGAAATGTGCTAGAAACATGGACTGTTGAAAAGTGATTTTACTTGTCCCAAAGACGCCATTTTGTGCTTTAGTGTTATAGTTATTTGTGTGTTAATATATATGATAGTAATCCTTTATAAATTCTGATTCAGAATTGTAATAATATCGCTATTACATGCTGTTGCTTTAATTGTACAGATACTGATAGATGATAAATTATATAATAGTCCAATTGACTACCGTAGTTAATATCACAAGTTTACAGTCTGTTATTGCGTTAGCATTTATTTCGTGATATTGATACGATTTTGTGTGCTTAATAGGTTACATGCACAAATGTGTTATGCATAATGTTCGTGTAATTTGATATTTTTATACATAAAATATCTGTTTCATTAGAATTATTGAAGCAAATCAAAGGTCAATTGTTTGGGTTTCGCCATTTTGGAAGTATAACGGAACTTGCTATAATGATGACGACGTACATCTCGTAACAAAATAGCATTCAAATTACATGTAAAATTCACTATATTCCAATTATTTATTTAATTATTGTGTTATTAATGTTCTTATTTCAATTATTCAAAAATTAATAAGTAACATAATTATAGATTTTACGCGTGTCCCAAAATGCATTGCTGCATTTATAGAATCGTGGAATTGGACCGCGACTTGCGCGGTGATTAATAAATTTTAACATTATATTTTTCACATAAGAAAATTAATGAATGCTTGTATTTATAAAACTGATTTTATTTCGCATTCTATTAATGTCTATTGATGTTTATGTTTATAGGTCATTATTTCAGTAATCTAAAAATGCATTATGGGTAAACATGGAACGATGGAAATTAACCATTAATTTTTGGATTGGTTAATAAAATGTAATCTTATTTTACAAATAAAACCGTTTACTTATTATAGACCCTACTATTTATGTTTTTATAATTTTCAGCATTATTCAACGTTTTAATCTATCAGCAATATATCATAAAAGAAGATTTGTATTTCAACCAATTCTTCATGCCTAATCTGTTTGAAATACTGCTTGCATTAAAGGACGCAATATTATGAAATCATTAATCATTGTATGAAAGCATTTAATTATAATTGTAAAATCATTAAAGGATTTACTAGAGTAATACAATTTTCAGTAGATAACAAGTTGAAAACCTTATTTCTAGGTAATAATTTTAAATTTGCCGCTTTTTTATTCGGGTTAGATCGGTAGAGTTCGGAGTGGCAGAATAGCGACGGGAATGGACAGTCGGGTCGTGTTTGAGGAACGGTGGAACAGGACCATTCGGTACGTCGCGGAAGAATGCGTAGCCATTGTTGGTGCTGCGATCGTTAGTTTGTAGATCTGAGATCGTCATGGGCACGGAAAGCCATCCGATTGTACGAGACTCCAGGAAAATGTCGGTGGAGCTCGTTACGGGGCACTGATACGATATTAGTACGAGAGATCGACGTCCGCATTCGTAAGTGTGGAGAACTAGTTGGTCGGGCCGCGTCCGCGTTCGTCGCGTATGCGAACCGAGCGCTCGCGCTCGTACGAGTGAGAGTGAGTGAGTGATACGGTGGGGCACACTCGGCGGCGGCCATAACACCGACCAACCAAACTAGCAAGCAGGGAGAAAGCGTAGTGCGAGTGTCCAAGACGTAGTGGTAGTGTTTTTCGATAAAATTCCTGTGGAAAGTGGACTTCCATTGATCAGGTAAGTGATTACAAATAATTTTAGAGTCTCTGGATCCGTTGATGATAAGTATAGCGCGTGGTGTGTGCCGTGGTGGTGCGTAAGTGGCGGCTGTAGCGGCGGGCCCTTGAGAGCTTTCTTTCCCGAGCGGCCATACCGCCATGTTGAAACCTACGCCAAATCAAGTGATCAAAAAGGCGGCTCGGGTATTCGCGCGCGCCAGAATTGTCCGATGTGAAAAACGTTGTGTTTTCAGCGCCAGTCGAACGCTCGGCTAGATTCTCACACGGCGGCTTGCTCGTGTTTGTTGTGCGTCGGCTGGGTGCATCGGCTGGGCGCGGGTCTGCTACCCTTCCCCTCGCCATCCTCTCCTACTTGTCCTCCTCCTCTTTCCACTCCTGCATCCACCGCGTTTACTTCTCTCCCATCATCTCTCGTGGATCTCACCTTTCTCCTTTCTTATTTTGTCGATTTTTATCACTAAGCACCTGTTCGACCCGCGAACTCTTATCTCTGTCCTTGATACTCGGACCTCTACGAATAGAACGTCTTCGCGGCATGGATTGTTCTGGCAATGCTCCTCTTCACCACGGTAGAAGCTCATGCTTCCCATGGTCAAATTCTTATGATTATCCGCGAGATCGTTTTTTTTCTGTATATTATCAATTTTGTATTTTAATAGCCAGTTCACTTTCTATACCAGTGTACCAGTTATTTGTGCTACTTTTGTCAAACTTTCCATTTTGGCTTACACTGGTCTCGAACAACAGGGTATGCACGTTGATTCTTGTACACAATTGAAAATATCACTGTGCAGCTATAATGTTACATTTTGGACGCGCTGTTCTTGATTAATCCATTTCTGTTTCTTAAAGTTTTTGTATTCATACCTAATATTTATATGCATCTCCTTGGTATTTTGTATCTTCGTTACAAAAATTCTTTGTTCTTTTGCTATTATAGCTTTACATTTTTAAATTCTTGCAGAGGAATAGTTGGAAGGTTGTAAATTTTAGATGACTGTATACATACTTTTAATTAAATCCATAAAAAATATACCATGAGATTTAGGTATTCTCATTTTGTTTTTGCTATACATTTTTCAAAGTATTATATTATGCTACTTATAGTAAAACAATATAATGCTGTATAAAAGGCTATAAATATTATAACTTAGTTGCTTTTGTTATATTTTTTCTGAGTAAGGTAAAAATTTGATTCTTTATTTATGTTATATACAAACAAATACTTTTCACAAACATCTAAATACTAATAAGTGTCTTTTAATTTGATACATGCACTTCATTTTATATTATGGTTGTTTCATTAAAAGTAGTTTCCAGTTATAAAATTTGCATAAATGATTTGCCAAAATGTTTAAAGGAGCAATTTGAACGTGTTTATGGTAGCAAAAATTTATATTGCCAGTTTATGTATAGAAAAGTGAAAAGAAATTTATATGTCAAGCATGTATCTTATACATTCAGTTTTGCATGATATGTTAAATAATTTATGCAGATATACCTAATTTGAAAAGAAATCAATGTTTAACTTGCTCTAAAGCAATCAAACAATTTGGGGTTGTTACAATACGGGGTCCTGTTGTTATGTTATCCAGATGTTGCTAATGTCGCGAGTCTTGGCTGGAGGTACGGAGTCTCACAGCAGTGTACAGGGCTGACATTCAAAGTACTACCATTTGGTAGGCTTGAGTAGTGTTATGCCTCCACGGCACCAATCTCCCTGGTTGCAGCGCAATCATCTTGGCAAGCAATTAGTGAGCTACCATGCTCAATTCAGAATATATCCTTGCCATCTCAATTGTTGATGAAGCCTCATAGCGTCAAGCATCAACGTAAGGCAGTTACCTGCTGCATAGCATTTATGTACCATATATGTCGGAAAGGTAGGTGAAGCTCATTACGGTGGACACAATGAGCCTTACATTATAAAATATACCTAGTTATATCAAGACATGTGAAGTGTGATTGTATCAGTTGGAGTTTGACATTTCATACAATGAATCCTGCAATTTCAAGAGAAGGAAATAAATGATCAATGATCTATAAAGTGCATTACAAAAATATGGTACTTTCTGAGTTCTTAACGTAATGTCAAAGTAAAATAGGTTATCTGCAAGTGAGTTTTGGAAATTAAAGTATTGTATGCCCAGAATGTGATTTAAAATTTTATACCAAATAATACTTTAACTTTTACCACATTTCTTTACAAAACCTGCTTACATGCTTATGTTTTTTTGTTGCAGAAACGAAGCCAAGATGCAGCAGGTGGACACTATCTCACAAAATAATTCGGTGAGTAATACGCTAATATTATAATATAATAATATTAAATGCAACTTGCTTATTAATCTACTAATGCTATATATAAAAGCTGCAGTCAGTCATACATTTCCCTTTATGTAATTTCCATGTAGTCCACACATGTGTTAAACAGCATATAGAGACACATTTCCTTTTATTATACTAAAAAATAATTATATTCAGTATTGTATTATTTACTTTCATAGTTATTTTGATTAGAAGTCCTGTACAGTATTTATATACAAGATCTCTTAATTTAAAGTTTGAAATACAATTTGTGCTGAATTTCAAACTCAATATGCTTTTTAAACTAGATACATAATTTCCAATTAGTAACTATTTTTCCAATACTGATTTTGCAGTACTTATTTCCAAATTGTTTACACTATTCACAAGAGAGCCAAAGTTTTTACAATTTTCTGTTATGTCTCCCCTTATTCCTGGTACTATGTTGAGCACCATTTTTTTTTATGTAATGAAACTGAGCGTTGTTTGATTGAATGGTATGTATGAATTACAGTTAGATGTGGAGGAGCGAGAAAGGCTGTGTAATATACCGAAGGTGAGGTTCCTTGTTGACTATTGTTTCAACTAGGATATATATATATGGTTAAAATTTTAAATGGCAGCTCAAAAATTACATTAAGAGCAATTTGCGATTTTGCTTCAGTACTTTCTATGAAATCAAAAGGCATATAAAAATTAAAATAAGGAGGGAGGGTGGACTTTGTAAATAAAATAATGGTTTTTCTGGACACTATTTATGAAGCAAGATACTTTTTGCTCAATGCAATTCATTTTTATTTCATACAAAGTATTAAAAATATTAATATTTAAAGCTTGTGAGTCATTTCATACAAGTGTACAATTTTTATATATACCTTAAGATAACTGTTATAGTTAACAAATTATAATTATCTTATTTTATCTAACTTTTTTCGTTTTGTTTTACTTTATTTTGTTTTATTTTGCATATATTTTTATGGTTTTGTGTTTGTTGCATGAATGTATGAAATGACTTAGAGTTGCCATTATGTTTCAGTTGAAAATATTTTTGTACTACATACATATTTTGATTATATACTTGATTAGATATTTTTTAAAACAAATTCTAAATCGCTTGCCTGTGGTTATGGAATTCAATATTTAGCAGCCTAATTCGCTCGTTGCACGAATGGGTTTATCTTCTTCTGTGGTGCATGAACCTTACTCATGTTCCTAAATTTGTATTATAATAAAATACAAAGAAATTGTTACAGAATAAGTTGTAATATTTTGTTAAGTATCCTGTAGTAAACATTTTATACGTTATCTCTGGTGAAAATGGTAATCTCTATTTTTCAATAAAAAGAATAACACCAGATTTAAATTTATAACAAAGCATGTATTGTATGATAACCTGATTTCTAGCCTTTAAACGTTAATTTCACCCAGAAAAGAAGTAGTGGCCTGAATTGTGCCTTGCAGAAAGAAATTTCAGTTTTATTTAATATTCTAGTGTTATATAATAACTGTAGTAATAGAACTCACTAACGAAAAACAGTTGTATCAATGAAAAATATATGAATGAAACCTGGATAATGCAGACAAGTGCACCTGGTAAGACATCGGCTACACCAGCAACTCCTGCAAAGGAACCGCCACCACGTGATGAACCATCCGTGGAACCGGTAAACGGTGTAGTCCAACCACCTGTTGTGCCACCACCTAATCGCCCAGGGCGTGTTACCAACCAACTACAGTTTCTTCAGAAAGGTGTACTCAAGCCAGTATGGAAGCATCAATTTGCGTGGCCTTTTCAGCAACCTGTAGATGCCAAGAAACTCAATTTGCCAGTACGTGGATATCGTGTTCATTTTCTAATTATATGTATACATATTGTATAGATTTAAAATGTATTATAAAAATGTAAAGTCATTTAGAATGATTTATGATCCTTATGAATTTAATAGGATTACCACAAAATTATAAAGCAACCAATGGATCTTGGCACTATCAAAAAAAGATTAGAAAATACATATTATTGGAGTGGGAAAGAATGTATCCAAGATTTCAATACAATGTTTACCAATTGCTACGTTTACAACAAACCTGGAGAAGATGTTGTGGTGATGGCACAAGCTCTCGAAAAATTGTTTCTTACAAAGGTAGTTATTTCTTTTAAATTTGTTAATATTACACTTAAACTGCGGTTATACTATATTAAAGAAATAATAAATTGCTAGGTTGCACAAATGCCAAAAGAAGAAGTGGAACTGGAGCCCCCTGTTCCAAAGGGACCCAAAGGGAAAAAGGCTGGCAGAGTTGGAGCACCAGTTGGTGGTGTAGCAGGAGGTGCAGGAGGTACAGGTCGTGGTCGACCTTCATCTGGTGCAGCTGCGGTTACTTCCAGTGTACCAAATAGTTTAACGCCTTCAGCTACATCAGCTGGTACAACAGGCGTGATACCCATGCCTCCTCTTGGCACCCAAGCACCTGCATCAGTACCTGGGAGCACTAATACGACTACGATTGCTCCTCCATCGAGTATGGGTGTTACTCCCATGGCTACTCACAACTCTTTGCCTCAACAAGTGGTCCCTCCGACTAGCGGTTACCATGCACAACCAGCGATGGACCCGCAAGCAGCTTCTGCTGTACCTCCTCCTCCCCAAGTTCCCACTGCACCTACGGTAATGCCTCCATCTCAACCTGCAAAAGTTAAAAAGGGAGTGAAGAGAAAGGCTGATACTACAACTCCTACTGCAAATTCTTTCGAACCTTTATATAAACTGGATCCTAAAAATGCCAAAATACCCACAAGACGAGAATCTGGCAGACAAATAAAGAAGGTAAATTTATATTCTCTTATTCAGTCAGATATTTATGCATCACGTTTTTTTTTATTTTTTTATTTTTCCTAAAACAATCGTGTGTGTTTTCATACGGTATTCATATTGAATATGCAATCTGTTTATCATTTAATCATTTACTTAAAATATCGTGTGATCAGGAAATTGACAATAGTAGAACTCTTATTTGTGAAAGACAATATTCAAGTTTCTTTAAGTTATTTTATATATACCAGTACAATGCCAGCAATTTAGTAAATTTATCACTTTAATGTATATGAATTTTTAATTATCATTTCAATAAGTTAGAGCATTATGTATGTTAAGCATTTTGTTCCTTGCACGCTATAATCATATCATTCATTAATACATTAACAACGAGTTCATAACGTGGCTGTTTCAGCCAACGAGGCAAGCGGAAGACGGCTTAGTGCCATTCCACCAGGCCAACATGCCCCTGATTGGGGCAATGGCCCAACAGGTACATTTATTACTACTCCTTCATGCTCCTTCCTTTCATTTGTGCTGTCTTATCATATCAAACGAATAAAACTATTTAAATAAAAGTGTAGAACTAGTAACTTTTTGTCGAAAAAATATATAGATATTAGTTCCTTTCTGTTCATTTCATATTCTAGGTTACAGTAAATATGCTTCATTTTTAAAAATTTTTTTTTTATAAACTGCTACTGTTTTGCAATTAATAATATTCGAAAAGGGATTTTTGTTTGTAATTGTTACTATTTCTAATTATTTTACAGCCTCAACATACTACTGGAAAGTCGAAAGAAAAATTGTCAGAAGCGTTAAAGTCCTGTAACGAAATTTTGAAGGAACTATTCTCAAAGAAACACTCGGTAATTACTACAAATTTAATACGTAGTTGATATGATAATTTAGACAATGTTTATAACTCACGTCCGATAATGTACAGGGTTATGCATGGCCCTTTTATAAACCGGTTGATGCGGAACTCTTAGGTCTTCACGATTACCACGACATTATCAAGAAACCAATGGATCTTGGTACTGTGAAGGTAATACTTAGTTTTGCCATATGTATTTGTTATTAGAAAAAAGTAGAATATATGCTTAATACAGTTTTCCTTTTCGTAGACGAAAATGGATAACCGTGAATATAAAACAGCACAAGAATTCGCGAGTGATGTGCGGCTTATATTTACTAATTGTTACAAGTACAATCCTCCTGACCATGATGTCGTAGCGATGGCTAGGAAGCTTCAAGATGTGTTTGAAATGAGGTTGGTTTTTACAAACCTCGAGGATATACCGCATTTTTTCCTCTTCATTTGTTATTTGTCGAAATAAAAATGTTTGATAAACCAGGTATGCAAAAATTCCGGATGAACCAATGGGCAGTATGGTAGGCATTAAAGTTAGCAGTAGTAGTGCCAGTAGCTCCGGATCTGAAAGTTCTTCGGAGAGCGACGATTCGGACGAAGAACGTACTCAAAAATTGGTTGCTTTGCAGCAGGAGGTACATTATTATTTTATTATTATTTTGTTAATATTATTTTTTGTTGTATGCGGCTAATACAAAAACTTAACTTTATCTGTAGTTGAAAGTTATGCAAGAAAGAATGAGGAAATTAGTAGAAGAAAGTGGTAAAAAGAAGAGTAAAAAGAAGAAACCGGATAAGTCAAAATCAAGGCCATTGACCAGTAAGAGTAGTAGCCTTGTAGCCAGTCATACTGGTGCCATGAAAGAACTTATGAAACCAAGTGGTGGAATTCCAAGTGTCTCTGATAGTGTCGGTGCTAGTATAGCCAGTGTTGCAATGGGGGGAGGTGATTTGAAAATGCCGGGTGGAATGGGTGGTGACCTTCATCATCCAGCCATAGCAGTAGGACCTAATAAAACTCATGCGGCCGGAAGTATGAGTCATCATCTGCCAACGACGGCAAATGCTAAGCCAAAGGGAAAAGGAAGAGGACCTGGAAAAGCGGCAACGACAAATGCCGCGACTAAAAGGCCAAAAGCAAATAGCAGATCAGCTGGAACTAAAAAGAAGAATGCCAGTAGTCAACCACCTCCGATTACATTTGATTCGGAGGATGAAGATAACGCTAAACCAATGTCTTATGATGAGAAAAGACAACTTAGTTTGGATATCAATAAATTACCTGGTATGTTATAATTTTAGACGAGTATGTTGTACATTCTGTGAGCGTCTCGATGTTTTATTGAGATGCTTTGCTCATTTTGAATTTCTAGGAGATAAATTAGGACGTGTTGTGCATATAATACAATCTCGAGAGCCTTCGTTAAGGGATTCGAATCCAGACGAAATTGAAATTGACTTCGAAACGTTGAAACCATCCACATTGAGGGAGTTAGAAAGCTATGTTGCTTCATGCCTTAGAAAAAAGCCACGTAAGTTTTATTTTGAATTTCATTTAATAAGTAAATTTGTAATGTATACGAGTTAAATTATTTATATCTTATACTATCTAACATGTATATTAAAAATTATTCATTCGAACTATTTATTGCAATATTATGCTGCATATTATTGTTGTTGTTATTATTAATAGTATTTAGTTAAGAATTGGGACTTTTAACATCTTTTACAGACAAGAAAGTCAGTGGTAAATCTAAGGATGAACAAATGGCCGAGAAGAAACAGGAGTTAGAAAAAAGGTTACAGGATGTTACAGGGCAGTTAGGCAATGTTAAGAAAACCGCTAAGAAGGGTTAGTACTATGACTTTATTATATAATTAAATTAGCAGGTTCGTAATTTATTTTAATTATAAAGTTATACAATTATTTTTAAATGCTGTTTACAGAGGACAGTAGTAAATCAGTTGATGTAGTTGGAACTGGAGGAGCTAGTGGGCCTTCGAGATTATCAGCGTCAAGTAGTAGTAGCAGTGATAGCGATTCCAGCAGTAGTTCACTTTCTTCGAGCTCCAGTGATTCGAGCGACAGTGAAGCAGGTTAGATATGAACCTCATGTAACTGTTGCTATTATTAGACCCTTACTTGGGAACAATGAACTACTTATAAATAAGTAGTTGTCGTGAAAATATGAACTAATTTTTTTGTGAGATTTAAAATTATGGGGTTATTTGCGATTGTTCATCTTTTCGAGTGTCGATATTTTTTAGTCAGCATTTTTCTTGTAATTTTCTTACTAATAACTTTCCATAAAGCACAGATTTCTATTCACGTTTATGCTCGAAACATTACAAAGACAATATATATTTATAAATCCTCAACAAGCACTCTATATGTATTAGTTTCCCTTTTACTGAATATTTTATTTCCTTATCGTACCGAAACAATATAGTTATACACTATATTTCTATTGTATTTCTAATAATACATATCTAGATACAAAGTTTTATGATTCATTGATTTCTCAAGTAAGAGTGTTTGTTTAATACAATAAAAGAACTGTCATTTTAAGTGAAATCATAGACGTGAATCTCCTAGTTATTTTAAATAAAGTTATTCACCATTTCATGTGGGTACTTGATACATATTAATATTGAAAATTTTATTAAAATTGTATATAAAAAATGTTACTATTTATGCAAGTTTCAGTTTATCTGTATCGTTTTATTCACTATAAAATCGTGACTACATTACATCTCTTGTTTGAGTATTGATATTTTCCGTTCCTTCGCGGCTAAAAAGAATTTGCGTGCAGCTTAAACATTTTTACAGATACATGAATGTATATAAATTATTTAAATAAAATTAATATTACAGTGTCAGTTCTTAAAATATTGATCATCATTTTTAAATCAATATGTTAGAATCATATTTGCCTCAGATAATACATCATTTTTAATAGATAGTATTTAAAGTATCTAGTGAAACTACTATCTTGTTGTATAAAAAAATTGAAACATTTAATGCCCCATGACTTGGTGATAACTTTGCATTTAAAAAATAACGTAAACTCTGTGCCTAACCAATTTTGTATTGGCAGTTAAAACAATCGAAAATACCGGTGCAACATTATTGATGCAACATACACATTGTAACGAAGCGAAGTTAAAGGAAATAGAGATATAAAGAAATTTTTCAAATGGGGGTTTGATTGCACAAATGCATCGCAAATATCTTCTTAAGCTGCTAAATCTTGCTTATTAATTGTATTTATTAGGACGGCGTTATTCGTGTAGCTTAAGTGCTGCGTTATATTAATGCAAGTACGAATATCGTGTCAAGTTTCATTGTGATAGCCACAGTGGATGCATTACCATTATAAAATTAAATGAATCATTATAAATTTATCCATAGCTACATACAAGTTTTGAAACAGATACATGTCTCGGAAAAGTTCCGATTAACAAAATTGAAACTTGACACAGTTAAACAATTTTTATTTAATTTACAAGACAATATGCAATGGTAAGAAAAAAAAGGTGAGCTAGTGGAGTGCAGACTGTGTTTAGAGGATACCATATGCCATGCCAGCTTGTTTCACAAATTATATTATTGATTAAAAATGATTACTTATATTTTCTCTTGCCCTGTCGGTGTTGACAATACATTCTGTTGCTCGAAAGTCAAGTATAGTTTGCAATTCAAGGTTACTGAATTTTTCACTGCAGTCTCATATTTGATTAAATGTGCAAGGAGAACACACATCTTTTGTAATTGGTCAAGCATTTGTAAACGACGGTAAGGCCATTTAGTTAATGTATTGTAAATAAAGTAATATAAAATATAGCTGGGACTGTAGTGTCAAATGTTAGTACCTTGGAAGATACGTTGTAGCTTTTCCTGACAATTATATTGCCCTACGTAACCCAAGCAACATCATGCAATATATTAACTCTTGCAAATTTAATATTTATTTACATTAATCGATAAGCAGAGCATTACTTGTATCACTGTGTTTTTTAAATCATTAAGTTTGTTTCCTCGCATTGATTCATTCATGTCGTATCATTTCTTGGAATATAGTACAGTGATATTAACAACGTCGTTTAAGTGTGGAATATACACTTATTACCTGAGTGACGTGAGAACTGTGTTTAGGCTTCTGAACACTATACTTTGTTTCCACAGTTTAGACTGTGTGGACTTAATGGTCAACATATAAAGAGGAATAAATTAGGCAGTGATATTTATTATTATACACACGGGAAACAAATGCAGACAATGTGTATTGGTGGCTGGATTTGCAAATCCACATTCTATGGTTATTTATAATCCACAGCTTTCGCGTCAAATAGTGAATTTAATTAGATACACTTTCGTGTTAAATATTGTCTCCGCAAGAAAGAAAAACAAGAAAAAAAAGAAATTTTCAGAGTTTACATATTTTTTAAGATACTTACCTGATATTACCTCATCTAACTATTTCCATTTCTTAATTAGGTTTACTTTGATAAAGCCAAAGAAGTGGTGCTTCCTGTTAAAAGTCAATTATTAAGATTTATCATCTCATAATAAAAACGCTTTGGTACAATAGTATACACTATATTATTTAGATGAAATGGTGAAATTAAACTAAGATCTTTGATCTTCCTCTGAGTATACATGGGTTCAAGTAAAAATTAGTTACAGAAATACATACCTAAAGTGTGCGGAGAAAGTGATATACATATGATGTGATGAACAATAATTTCCATTTATTTTTTGTAAGATTAATGACTTTGAGCATACAAGGTTTATGTTAACATATCAGAGAAAGGCAAGTGTTCAAACAACACAGGCAGAAAAGGGTAGTACTGTTGTTTGTCAAATAAATAAAAGAAGACAAAAATGGTAGAAGGGATTAGGAATGAGAGCAGGATAAGGAAATGGTCTACGATACAACCAAGGCACACTAGCCTCCAAACACATTGTTTGCACTCCGCTAAGCTTTGCTAATCGTCGTTTTCATTATTCTATTTACCACTAGTTCTTCATTGATAACCATTGTCAGTTTCTTCATTTCTGAAATTACTTGAACGAACGTTAGTGCATTTTCATTCTACTAAATCAATATCATTCTGACAGTGATAATAATTAATTATGAAAAATGGTGTGGTTTTACATACCTTGCTATACAAAGTAATATTTATATCCTTGTTAAAAACGAATATAATTTAATTCTCTCTGAACAATAGTAAAATTCTCAATTATGCATAATACATATTACTGATTCAAAATATTCATGTCATAAAAATATCTCGAATAATATTAATTTTTAACCCGTCCTATTAAAAATGTTTCTTTCTTTTTAGAAAAACCTTTTATACAAGTTTGAACAAGGTTAATTTTAGTGATATTTTGTTTTTATATTTCTATGTGTAAATGTCTGCTCCATGATAGCGTTTTTTGTTGAAATATCATGTAAATTTAGTTCTTATATATAGTAAAGTATATACATAAGAAGTTATGGACGTAATTGATATAAGATTTTAAGGTGCTTCTGAAAGCACTTTATGCTTCAAAATGTTGCATAACATGAACATTGGAAAAAGAAGAGATAAAGGTGATCAAATTCGCACTCAGTACAATTTAATGTTATCATTAATCGTACAGTCAGCAGCGTACTTACTGTTCCAGAGAAACAATACAGTAGAGGAATTTAATTATTATTATTTTCTTTATCAATCAGAAGAAATTGTTGTTTTCTATGGGAACTATAATTATTAAGGCGTTGATCAGGAAAAATTAAGCCTATTATTTTAGGTTCTTCGAAAAGGAAGAAAAAAAAAAAAAATGGAATACTGAAAGTAAATAGAAAAAAAATTCGAATTAATTAGTTAGACTATATGAAAACAAATTGACGGCGTGTGCTGAATTAGATAGAAACTGTGCATCTATTAAAATACAATCACCATTAGCTTGTAACACAAGATATAGGGCATTTTATAATAATATCAATATTGCCTTCCAAAATTTTTGTAGCATTTATTCCAAGAAGCACGCGTCTAAATTTTTTCACATCTTTAGTCAGACTGGAACGTCATTCTTCCTTCGACATCGTTGTACGCAAAAGCAGATTTAACGAGGTCGATATCTTTTATTATAATTTGAGATGCTGTTTTATTTGAACGAAAGATGAAGAAAGAAAAAGACAAGAAACATTATTCTTCGCTCTCAGGAGCTATTTATTCGTGCGTTCCATCTGTTTTTCTGCGTATCACGAATTGGATAGCAACAGTAACACAAGCATACGCGTTTTGTACATAGTGAAAACTAATATATCATAAAATATTAATAATAGTTGTAAGTTACGAAAAAGAAGTTAAGCGACACACAGGAGACTTTTTCTAAATGCATACACAAAAGTAGACGAATGAAATAAGTTAAAGAAAGAAAATGAAAAGGAGGAAGAGGAAGAAGAAAAGAGGAGGTCGATTCTTTGAGATCGTACGAAGTCGGAGTTAGCTCATTTGGTGGTGGTCCAGTTGACTATATTATATAAATTAAGATAAGCTGGAACTTCTACTCGATGTTTTTTTTTAAGCTAGTTGTTAACATTTCATTGCAATTGTTTTCTTCCTCTTGTATTTGTACATTTGACGAGTTTTAATCTAATATCGACCATTCCACTGATGAAGAGAATTGGATTCATGATGGGCATGAATCACATTTAAATGTAGTATATAGAATTGCTGCTTGTAATTGATATATATATATATACACAAAAATATATATATGTATAACGAGTGATTATAAACATCGAGCAGGAGTGTCTTTGCCACCGATCTCAGTACTGTGCTAACTCCGACTTGAATTCAAATTTGAATTTAAAAAAAAAAAAAAAAACTACCTTTGTACGAGCGTGACACACTTGTATCTTTCATGTTTAAGTTGAGTCCATATTGTACTATTTACGTGACTTTTATTTGCATTAATTAATTCTATGATTACATTACATTAATTATATTATATTACATTATACTGTATGAAAAGAAGATGAAAGGAAAAAAGGCAGTTTGATGGTTTTTGTAGTCAGCATTTTGTAATCATCACTTTCGTCACTGTCACGATTCTAATTGTAATATTCATTATTATGATTTATTTTATTATGATTAATATTATTATTATCATTATTATTATGATTATTATTATTATTATTCACACGAGATAGAAGGCGCGTGTTCTCGCATACACGCATATATATATATATATATATAGAAAATATTATATGTATATGTATGTGCGGCAAATTTTGCAACACGTGAGCGTGTATTATGTATGTGCGCGCGCGTGTGGTATGTATGTATGTATTTATGATGTGTATACAAATATATATATACATATAAGTGTATGTATATATATGTATATATATGCACACGCAATTATTCATAAATAAATTGAATACAACTAACTTTATGTAGAATGAGAGAAAAATGAATTGTTCTGCGCATTAAAAATTTTTTAATATAAAAAAAACCATTAAGATGAAAGTCCACAAAAAAAGAATAAAAAAAAAAAAAAAAGAAATCATACAATTGAGATATTTAAATTAACATTGTTGTACACAGTGATACAATTATAATATAAGCATATGAATAAAATCTATTAGAAAATATACGCTGGAAGTCTTTTAATTTTGTTTTCTAATGTATTTTAATGTTTATCTCGCATCTTTTTTTACTTGGCGAAACATGACATTCATGGCTGGTATCCTCTGCACACTGCATTTCACTATAACTCCATCGATCTCTATCTTGTAATGAGAAAGTGATTGGTCGATTGCACGTATTCACCGTTAGATGCACATTACATTAAATTACAGGAAACTCTTCGAATCGTCCCCCAAGAAAGAAAACAAAGAAGAGTACACCAAGTACAGGACCTCCTCCAACTACAACTACTGTAACACCGGTAAGATAACGTTTTTCCTCTAAGCAGCATCTGTCCATAGCTCTTGTATAAATGATAATATTATATATTAATGTATCATTGTATGAACATAATTGTACATTTCTTATTGTAACCGAAATTTGTTGTATTATATTATTAATTTTTAATTTTTTATATTATAAGTTCCAATATTCTACTTGTATTTAAAGGTCTATAAGATTGATAGCGCAATTGTTTTAGTATCGTAATGCATAACTCACAATTAGTCATTTAAAAGTAACACGAACCTCCTGGTATACATAGTAAAAGATTTTTTATGCAAAATATATTAAATAACAGTGCACTCTTTAGGCACCTACACTGAATCACACCGGAGGTCTTTTAATGAACAGTCAACCCCCAACAAATTCTACGGGACCAATAACAAAACCAGCTGTAACACAGCCTAGCAATATTTCTTCAGATCAAGGTATGTGAAAATTATTTAGACATAAGAGTATTGTAGAAAATCTGTATATCTTGGCATCTATATGCCAGTTACTAACATAATTTTATGCCACATGTTATTTTAATGTGCGTTGAATGTTTATGATGATTGAATTAATTATTTTATTAGGTGGTAATGGTCAACAATCTGTAGCAGTAGCGGCTGTTACAGCTGGTCAAGGATTGCCTGTCGCAAGTCACACATCTATGCCAGCTCAACCGCCACGATCTACGTCTATGGCTACAGCTGCACCTGTAAAAAAGCCTACTCCACCACCACCAACTACTTCTAATCCACCAACTCCATCAGTGTCTGTACCAACTCCACCACCAAGTGTTACACCTACGAATACAAACTCTATAGTAGCTTCACCGGTTGTGCCTCAGCCACCACAGCCACCTACATCAGTTAGTTCCTTTTCGAATACAAACACACCTGTACCCACAGATGGGACAACTTTAACCCAACAGTCAGATCTGTTGCAACCGTATAATACTCTAGGTAACATATTTAATTGGATGATGTAATTAAAGAATTCTACTTTTATTACAACTATATAATCGCCCGAATGTATGCCTGAGAATGATTAAAAATATGAACATTTTTCTTACAGCTCCTGTGCCTACTACACAGACATCGTTGGAACAAACGATGTCGATAAAAAAAGAATCGCACATACCAATGATTCAAACACCGCATACAACAACGAATAATACCAATTTAAGTTTAATGCCAGATGTAAAGGCAGCAGTGAACATGATGCCTGCGAGTATGGCATCGAATTTAAACTTGGGAAATATAACGATGGCAAACCTGAGTATGAATTTGCAGCAAGGATTGGCCACGCATATGTCGATGCACAATCAATTGGAAAACATGATAAATACTACTTCACCGTTGACCAGTATACAAAATTCCCATAATGCTACAATGTCACAACAGCATTCCAATGGATTTTCTAATATCAAACGGGAGAATTCTCCACCTAATATGTTGAATAATAATGGTATACCTGGGCTCAATATGGGAATGAACATGGCCGGAATGGGTTCAATTTTTGACCCTTTGTCTATCGTTCCGATGCCAATGCAAATATCTCAAATACCAATAAAGAAAGAAGAGAAGTCGGTACCTATTTCTCAACCACAAATGCCTCAAAAACCCATGGATGGTAGGTTTGATAACGATTCATATTGAAAGCATGTATTTTGAAGATCATTGTGCAATGCTATAGCAAACATATTTCACTTTTAATTTGTAGAGTAGTCTTGTCATATCTCATATTATGTTAGCCGCTATAACCATATTCGTAATAAACATATCCTACTTCCTCGCATCGTGCAACGCTTCCAAATTCTGCTTCTCTATCTCTTAACTTGTTCTGCATAATGAATTATAATACTTATTGCGTGTGTCTAAAAATTTAATCTCCTCTGTGTGTTGTTCATATTCTAGATCGCTACATTAACTGCTTACTAATCAAATTTATAATACCGTTGCTCTAGCCGGAGCTCTTTTTGCAGAAATGAGCGCAGGAATGCCACCGATGGGAAATCACTCGAGTTCGCAGCTTATGCCTGAAAAAAAGATGACACCACCGGATTCGAAGAATCCTGTGTCAAATTTTGCATCAGCCTTCAAAAATAAAGTAAGAACATAATGATTGTTTCAATATAGCATCCTAAGCGGTATAATCTATTCAAAGTGCTTTTGTATCATTTCATTTGTGTTACTAATATTTAATACACGATTGTTGAATACGCATAGACTGTAGAACAGAATGTGAAAAATGCCTCGTCGTGGTCGTCTCTGGCTCAAGCATCCAGTCCCCAGTCTGCAGCCGGAAGTAGCATGAAGAGTGCTGCACGGGACTCGTTCCAGGCGTTCAAGAAACAAGCCAAGGAGAAACAGGATAGAGTTAGTATGAATAATTAAATTGTAATTTATCGTTCATCATAACACGCAGATAGTTGTTTTATTTTCGATTCTCTGTTCTCATATTTACATGCGAGGTGTAGCAACAAGTATTAATTTCTCTTCTGCAGCAAAGAGCTCTATTGGAACAGCAAGAAATGCGAAGACAACAGAAAGAGCAAGCGGAACGAGAACGTTTGCGACAAGAGAATGAAAGAAGAAGAGAACGGGAAGAAGAGGACGCGTTAGACAAAGTTAGAAAAACTGTTGGTGATCCACAGGGAAACGTTATGATTGCTACATCAAGAGCAGAAGAGGTGAAAGCCATTGTCGATACAGACAGTAGTAGTCCAAGTCAAGACAAAGCCGCGGCAGAAAGAGAACGTCAAAGGTTACGGGAACAGGAACGACGACGCCGCGAAGCGGTAAGTCCTAGTATAATTTCTTTTTCTGTAAGCGTTTCATTTCTCGTCATTCTGTTACAAAGATACAACAGAATTAAGATCAAATAAAACGTGTAATAATAGAGACAACATCATTGAAGATGAGATTATTGATATATTGACTTCAATTAATTATCAGTTTGAAAAAGAATCGTTCAATTGTTTGATAGAGAATTATATTCGCGAGTAGGTTTCACAAGTCGTCTACAAGCTTCCGTAGGCGAGTTTGCCAAGAATGGGTATATTTATTATTTCAGGCGGCTGGGCAAATTGACATCAACTTGCAAAGTGATTTGATGGCTGCGTTTGAGGAATCGTTATAATGTTATTTGCTGCTCATTATAAATCTACTGAAACCGGGCAGGACTTGGATGAATGTTTGGCGCTGGACGGTACTGCAGAAACGTATTGATATATACGTCAGTCAATAAGAAACAATAATAAATAATAATAAAATAAGATAACAATAAGCCGAACATGAAGACGGCGTGATAGTTTAAAGGATTAAAATGGATAAAAATGAAAATGGTGGTGCGGGTTGGGACATTCCAACGGAAAAACCCAAATTTCAATTGTCCGAATGGAATCGGACTACAAAGAAAAAAAAAACAAAAAAAAACAGTTTATCAAATGACGTAAAACTAATTGTGTGTAATCGACGGACACCCAAGTGTGACCATGTAATTAGATAAATACTTACACGACACATTGGAAATGCTACACTGACTATTGTGTTACATTTTTCCGGTTTTCATAAGTTTGTACTTTATGTAAATTTGGAAACAAAACAAAAAATATTATGCAGAAGATAATGAAAGAAAGAATATCGTATGAGAGGGAGAGAGAGAACGTGAAAAGAGTGTACAGCGTACGATTAACGTATGAATGAGTATGAAAGCGAGCGTGGAGAAGAGTAAAAGTCGTGTACATTTAGTTAAGTTTTATATTTTTCCACATTCAGTCATTAATCGTTGGTAGGATTACATAAACGATGTTTCTGCCAATAATACATACAATTATTAGCAATTTACTAATAATTTCATTGCAGATTTCTTTCTTGATTATGAATATATACTATTTATAATCACGAAATAGGTAGGCTTGTTAAGTCAATAAATAATAGAGAAAAGAAATATACCTAATGCAAACAATACACATTGGTGAATTTAATCGTGTCGATTATCACGATAAGCCCGTACGACTATCAATTGAAACAACGTCGAGATTTCGATTGATTTTAGAAGTTCAAACAGGGCCAATCGATTGATTTGAAGGAAATATTTATAAACTCATCTTAGAACAAAGTCGTCAATTATTACGAGTAACGGTAAGGTGATTATAGAATGATGTAGTTTTGATCCTACCAACCATTAGATCAGATCCGATGTGCGTACCTTGAATACTTGGTATGCTTTAGGATCACAGAAAAAAAGAAGAAAATAAAGAAAAGAAAAAGCGTGAAGCGGTATCGACTCGTAAATGGGACATTATTTAGAGAATATTTATATTTGTTTCATCATGAGTTAACTATTCGAATGAAGATCATGCTAAACAAGAAAAATGCTAAACCTCTCAAGAAAATTGCTAATTAATAGCCTCAAGACATTGCGTTTAATGTGCATCAAGCGATTGGAATTTTACAAAACATAAATCGCTTTTGTGTTACGTAAACAAACGCTGGACGTCTTGAATGAAGAATATTCAGTCGGCAAAAAAAAGTACAAAAAGTCGATATTTCAGAGTTTTGGATTTAAACGTACTACTATTGATTCTACTGCTATTATTATTACAATGGGATTCATTTTTTTTTTTTTTTAAGTATTGGAATTTGTGGAAGTTATAATAGTGAATGTACTGGTACACAGACATTATTAATAACGAAAGTTATTATCGAGATATATTATTACTATTATTATGATTATTATTATTAATATTATTAAATTATTGCATTAAATCGAATTTTATTTTTTTAAGATCCTTTTCAAACTCGCGATGTCTTTCTGTATTCGTAGCGTAATCGAATAACAATTTTATTCGAAATTTAAAGGAACGCTAGATTGGCACGAATATAACATACTTGTTTTTGCCTCATTGAACAGCGAATTTATGGTTCACAAATAACATGTTCCTTTTTACGTGATATTAGAACAAAATATTTTCCACTTACGAACAATAAAGAGAGACGGTAAATAATTATTCTGGAAGACCATATACGCAATTTGATAAAACCTTAGATAATACGATGGAACGAGAAGTGATCGGAACAAATTTACCATATTTATAGAATAATTAAATGCTTTCGCTTTATTTAAAAAAAGAAAAAGAAAAGACACGAAGCGTAAATGATATCGATGATAGAACCAGCAGGTGCACGAGGTTTAATATTATTTATTCTTCCCGTAACTTCATCTTTAAAGGGTCCCGCAAAGTTTCACCTTTCCGCTGATCAAGATCATTTTACCAATCGAATCGTGTCTTCGTTCGATGTAAATTTTTGGAATAATCAAAGATGGTTACCCGAAAGACACGATCGAACGAGATGTAGGTGAAGATAATAAAAGAAAATGATTTGAGAATCGTGAAAGATTTAACGTTGCGTTCAAATGCCAAAATATATAACCCTCGCCGAAGGATGACCGTGTTTAAACGACATTATAATGTATACAGATGATTTATTATTATTATTATTATTATTATTATTATTATTATTAATTATTAATTATTAATTATTATTAATTATATATTATTACGACTCGCGTTTAGACTCGATTCCGTCGCATTACATTTGTTCGGCTTTCTCGAGCGTGGCGAGAAAATACGTGTCAGGATAACGAACAGGAAATCGTGAGGGGCGTGTATCCAGTATCCGAGGATCGCGACGTTGGTGTCCACACTGTACAGAATAAAATAATTAAGCGTATGTGTGAGTGTGCGTGATTCTATTTATGTATAAAAAAAAAGGAAGAAAAAAAAATGCGTTCAGCAAAGAGAAATGCAATTTTTTAAGTGCTAGAGTGTACCGTTGACTCGAACGTAACGATCGAACAAGTGATATATCCTGAATATATATATATATTATTATGTATATCGCTCGAAATATTCCTCCAGCGGGCGATAGAGAATTTAATCATGAGTCTTCGTTCGCGACCAATTTGAATAATGCGCACGAGAAAATAAGATATATAATATAATGAAAAAAAAAAGATACGAGAGTGAGAGCGAGAGAGAATGAGGGAGGGTTTCACGAGTATTCACGCCGTTATTCGCAATCCTGTTTTCGTTGTTAAAAGAAAAGTGCATCGGAGATGAACGAAGGAAACTCTGTCGAATAACGATAGAAAAGACGGGGCAGCCCCGTTCATTGGGAATGCTCTTCATATTCTCACGTATTGTGTGCGCTTTCATATCAACGCGATCTCGTCAACGATCGTCGATAACTAATTCTAGCAATACCCTAGACTATCCTGCGTAATTTTATTTCAATGTAACCCGGGATCCATCGTTCCCGGGCGTTCGTTAATCAAAATTCAAGATTCACGAGAAATCTTGGCCCTCGACCTTTAGCAATCTATTCACTGCGATAATCAATGTTCGCGCCTTTAGTATGTACAATGATTTAGTCATCCGTATGGTTAATTGTTATCGTGTGCACTTAAATGGGAGTAGGACGATTTCTCGCGAGGAGGATGTCGTTTATATGATACAAGATTGAAAGAGAAGAATGATCGAAGTTTATTGGTTTCGTTTTCTTTACCTTTTTTCGTTTGAAAATTGAACAATGTTCTTTCGGTATAAACTATGCGTCGAAGATAACTATATTCTAAAGAAAGGAATAACGGAATTACTGTCGTGCGATATAGAATAAGTTCGAATCGAGTTTCGGTGTGGCCTGTAACAATCGTCGGTATTCGAAGAAGATTTTAGGGAACGCGTATGCATATTATATTCGCATCTATGATATTTGCAAATTCGATATGTTTGATATTACGATGAGTAGGAATAGGTGTTAAGGCGCGTCGGATTAAGGAGTATCCTTTCTGCGAAGAATTAATCCTCGGAATAATCTTCCACGAACGAAAGAATCATTTGCTACGATTCAAACGTTTCTCGCGTTTATTTTCCAGCCGATGCTTTTAACGACATTCTTTGTGCGAGCCGTTCTTCTATTTGTTCGTATTTCGATGCGAGTTGTTACTAAAAGACGGAAGATGTTTCGAGCGGATCGTATCGTCGAACAATTCCGTCGTTTTAAAATTCATTTTAATACCGTTTTCTATCTATGTTGTACCGTTAGACTAATCAATCGCAAGTGTCCTAGAGAACGTTCGAATGAATCCCTCGGATTGTAAAATCGTGTTTAAAGTAACGAGCTCAATGGTGACACGAATTCTAAAATGAAAGAAAGAAAAAAAAAAGAAGAAAAAAATTATTAAAATGAACGAATTAACAAAGAGAGTGAGTTTGAGGAAGAGAAATACAGGATATATAAAATGGGAGATATTGGGGGTGAGAGTGAGGAATGCGTGTGTTAGGTATCATGATTGTATAATACGTGGGTTTGTAACTGTAAATACGAGGAGAAATCATTGGCAGCAATTTAAACAGAATACAGATATCTATGTATAAAAAAAAAAGTAACAAGTACTAATACACACACCTCTATATATGTGATAAGGTTTGTAATATTTAAGGGAGGCCGATAGATTGTATAACCTACTAGATCTCAGTATAAGTTACTAGGTAAAGAACGTAATAATTCGTAAGTAACACCAAAATCACTCCGCTGTATCAAAACGAAAAAAAAAAAAATAATTTTTTATATAAGTTCCCACGGGCGCACATCATCTCCAATGGCACATGAGTTTTAGTAGACTTATTACGACTAACTATAGCAAGACATTAAGCTGGTTGTACATAAAGATAATAATGAAAATGAAGAATAAATGGCTAAAATAAAGAAATGCTTGATGTTGTTAAGTAAGAGAGAACGTTGTTTATTAGGTGGAATCTGTTCGCACGTTTACCCTTGACTTTTTCCATTGCACCATTATTATTCAAAAGATACCTCACATTATTTCCTGTGTTCGTATGATCCATGTTATTCGAAACAAAAGACAAATAAACAAAAAAAGATATTTAGTAAACTTTCGATACCATTTTTCTATACATGGATGCATGGCAATATCGATCACGCATTTTAATCGATCGTTTTATCTATTTTTCTAGAACAATTAAATTGTTGATGTTTCGTGAAGGAATTTTTATTGAATTCGTGAGATTTTTATTCGAAAATTCGAAATTCGAAATAGTAAAGTAGGCGTAAGTAAAGTATCTATGTTTAAATAAAATCTCGATTTACTTAACAATGTCAAATTCAACTATGTTGTCTGTTCTATTTCTATAAGAAAAAGAGACGTTGTTTATAACGTTTGAATTAATGTTACAAGGCAATTGTGAATACAAGAGTTACTACAAGTTATTAATTACACGTACATACAGAATTATCTTTTCTTAGTTTGTAATTTTGCATGTTATATATAAATATATATATATATATATAAATAAATAAATATATAAATATAAATATGGAGGAAGCGAGGGAGAGAGCGAGTGGGATAGAATGAAAGAGAGTATTATGTATAGTCATTGATAGAAGAGATACTAATTAAAATAATTATTGTCTCATGTTTGACGTTTTCTCTTATGTTGGGAATCTATTAGAAGGAAGATCAGAAATATCATTGTGTATACTATTAATACAGATAAAAAAAATAATGCATATTATACGTTATTATAATCTCTACGAATTATGCTAATTATTCTAAGGTTTAATTATTAATAACTAATTGAAAGTAACCGTACCGATAGTTTTTCATTACAACACCTCGTCCTGTCTTAAGATAATTCGCGTGCGAAATATACGACACTGGTTTGATTAAAGCTAAATAGAAATACATTTTGATGAATGCTCAACATGTGAGAATAATTGATTCCATTCCAATTTTTTATTCTATCAATTATTCCATGTACGAATCCCTTGCCTTTTCATTTCTAATTTATGTAAGATTTTTCATTTGAAACCATTAACATTTTTTTCAAATATTTATTGCAATCAGACCAACACGCGTCTTTATTGCAATTCTGAAAAAGTAATTATTTTATAGTCAATATTTTAATACTCTTACCGTATAAGCGATGACTTCCGATCTTGCACAACTATATTATAGTAATGTATAATAATTGATATTTTTAAAAATCTTATATCTACTTAACGTGATGTGGTGTTCGTAAAAAAGTAAACAAAATTGGAGTGAATTGTAGGCCTTTATAAGCAGAACATTTTGTTTAGACTACAATCTACATACATATATATATATATATATATATATATATATCCATATAATATATTATATAATATTCAATACCGTAAACTTTGCAATAATCTCGCCGCTAAGTAATCGCAATATCAACACACATTAATAATTATTACGATCATCAACAGACTCTAACTTCCACAGATCGAAAGTGATCTAGAATTGCTTTGTATGTGCAAATAGAAGTTTCAACGTGTAAGTACTTACAAATACGATAAAGATATTACTTCTTTAATTAAACGAATATAAGTCTTTAGTTGCTGGACATTCTTTAGATTTATATTAACGCACGTTTCGACGTAAAGAAAAAGCAAAATTTGCACTAAACATGTGCATACATTAAACGAGTACATTTGTTTAGTAAATGTACTGACAATATAAAGTATATAATAAATAACTAAATATACATATATCGCTTTATTATACAATATGATATTTAAATAAGATATTTAAATATCCATAGATTTTAAAAAATAAATACTAATCTGACATCGTTTAGTCTTTTTTTAAACAACAATGTAACTGAAGCACACACAACTGTATTCAATACTTATATTGTTTCATGACATCGGTAAATGTTACTGGCTCTGTGATTGAAATTGAATACTGAATCTCCTTCGCGATAGCAATAACAGTCAATAATTCTTGGAGCGGGAGATAACGAAACATTAATAACGAGAAATTTACACGAATATCACGATCGTTTTCTACGGTACATCAAATTCCACCACTAAACCTGTCATTTATGATGAACGAAAGGGTAGTATAACAGTAGAATAACATACTATATCTGGGTTAGATCATTCGTGAGCCTAAAGTACCATTAAGCATCTCCGTGTGATCTACATCCGTATTGCCAACATATTTATTCAATCAACTTTTTATTCGTGCAGGCACTTAAGACCGGATATCTTTTTTTTTCTGGCATCATTTGCATCTGGGCAAAATATTTATGATATGATATTTATCAATTTTATTGTTTTCTTAGTCGCTTAACAACTGTGCGACTCAAATTGACTGAGCGTTTTATATTCTAATCGAGATCATCCATAAAATTTCGCAATCATTATTACTGACGGAGCCAAAGCTAATGGCATATTAGGAATGCAGGAATGTGTCTTCGTTTTCTTTACAACAAACAAACTTGTTTATACATGAAGTTTACTTAAATCATCTAAGAAAGATTTCGGTGTAATTATATGCGATGAACCTACAGGAAAAGTAGCGAATAAATATTAAAACAAGCTTAATTGTCCAAAGTACATCAATATCTGTATACTTACCAATTATTACTTCCCAATTTTTCAAAGCATTTGTAACTTCATAACCGCACCGGATTTCTGAAAAGCAAACACCGCCAACCACGAAAACAATCAAGCGTGGTACATTCTTAATAGTCTGTGAGCCTTTGTCCTTATGCCAGTGTCCATATCTTGCACTAAAATTAAATGATTCAATGTAGACTGCTTTTAGGAAGAGAAAGTATAGAAGGAGTGTCTGGGTTAGGCTCTTCCTGAGCTCTCCTCAGGTTTTCTCTACATTTTTCCAAATGCAAAGGCAAGTGACAAAATACTATCATACCTCGTTGGTGCATGATATCCAGAACTAGCCGCACGTCCAGCCAAAAATGGAAAATGTTTTGAATCCAATTTATCCTCAATGGCATCTTCCATAATATCTTTCATAACCGGAGTCCAACGACTCATTTGATAAGTTTGTTCCGTAATTCTTTCTTTACGTTGTACGGTGTATAATTTTCTACGGTTACCACCCTAAGGATACATTATAAATTATAAAATAATATACTTACAATATTAACGTATTATTTGTTATTGATAGATAAGTACTTACGTCTACAACAATATTGATACTAAGGTTAGCCATATTTACTATGGTCTGTTTATCATCAGGAGATATCTGGGCGTGGTGAACTAATCGGTTAAGGTTCTCTTCGGAAATACCATTTTTACTAATAACGTACAATGCAATGATTCGTAATTTATCTAAATGATTTACAGTTTGATCAAGCAAAATTGGGGTAATGTTCTTCATCTGATCCTTAATACGTTCGCCTTCGGCGTCTGTACCCATTGCCAAATCCTAACAAAATATAATATGTAAAATATGATATATTATTGCAAAAACAGCTCGCGTATCATGTACCTGTTCTACTTTACACAGCTTATCCACATTTCCCTGATAACGTTTCATACAATCTTCCGCCAACTGTAAATGCGTCGCATACTTGCTCAATTCTTTTTGGTACTGTGGCATTTTCTTGATCATCTGTGAAAGATCCCTCATACTTTGTTTATCACCCTGAGGCATCCTCTTTGATTCTGTGAACTTCTTCAAATTTTTCGTAACATTTCTATAAACGAATACACATTTCAATACGATTGTATTATTTATAATCGATTGTTAAATTACTTGAACGTACTGTGAAACTACAGCTATATGCTGGTGTCTAAGCTCTACCCAGAGATCATCGTTTTCATCCAATAATACTTCTTTCTGTACACCAGCTGATGCTTCAAATCTTGTAAAAACATTCTAGTATTAATGTACCATTTAAAAATACTAGCTTAAACATGAATTATAATATTTACCTATAAACATCATTCTCAATGTCTAGCAAATCATATGCCATAGCTTGTAACGTTAGTTCATGTAATAGAGGAGAGACACAATCAAATCCTCTGTCCAGAATAAGTAGTTGAGAACGTGCCTTCTCAGGACCCTCTCCCATTGTTGGTTCATCCGCTTTGTAAGCGTCCAATTTCTGTTGAACCATGTGCGCTAGTTCTACATTTCGGTCAAAATCGCTGTTCGAGGAAATTGAAATACGTTAGCAACAAAGAAATACCATGATATATGTATATAACTTAACCTACGATATAATATTAAAATTATACCTTCGATATCTGACCGATGGGTATTCTCCAAGGGTAGCGCAAAGTGTCGCAATCTGTTCGGCTATTCTTTCCATATTGGCTGTTCTCAAGTTGGAGAAGGAAGGATTATAAAAGCAAGGGAATGTTTCACGCGAGTCCAAGGAGAACACCTGTTTAATTATGCATCCGTTTTAGCGTTATCTTTGCATTTCTTACATTATATCATAATTCTACGTTTCAAGCGGTGTTATTAATAGCGTAATACATATGTACATCGAGAAAAGAAAACAAAGATACGGATAACAGAATCACGATTAAATCACAGGATACAGAGATGCATGCGTTAAATAAATAAAAAAAAGAAGAAAAAAAAAAAAGAAAACAGAAATAAATAAGAAAAGTTTGAACCCCGGAAGGATAAAGGTATCATGTAAGGTATTCGCAGAAGTCTTTCGCCTATGTTCTACTTTATAAAATAAAGAACAGAAGAAGGCAGAGGAGTTCGCGTATCGTTTATTGTAACTAAGAAAATCGAAAGTATATTAATTGTTGCGTTTTGCGACTACGACTAGCAGCTACGATTTTTCTTTTTTTTTTTTTTTTTTTCTTATATTTCGTCACCTGCGACTCGTAAGGCAGGAAAGCGATGTTGATCTCTTTGAGGGTTTTGATCTTTTTAGCGGCGAGAGACTTGCAGAGTTCATTGAACAGCTCCTCCGGACACACTGGTTCGCGTGCAAGCATGAATGCATTCCGTCGTTAGTACGTGCTTATGTATGTGAGTATTGTAGAAAATAAGGGAGAGTAAGGGGGAAGAAAAAGGTCAAACAATTGCGTTCAAATATCGTTGTGATACGTTGATTCGAAAAAATTGAATAGTAGTGTAGTAGTAGTAGTAGTAGTAGTAGTAGTAGGTTCGTGACTTGAAACGCCATATAGAGGGTGTAAGTAAGATCAATGTGTGTTAAGGACATTTTGATGTGTTATTATGTGTATGATCGTGTGCCCGCCACCACGTAGAACGTACAGGTTGTATCAGACAATTCGTTTTCTCGTATCCTTTGCTTTACCTGCTCTTCATACGGTATGAAAGCGATGTTGATCTCTTTTAGTGTCTTTATGCGTTTAGCTACCAGCGAGTGGCACAATTCTTTGAACAACTCATCGGGACAGGCTGTAAATAGATATACTTAGAATATCACCAGCGGACCATTGTAATCGAATGTACCCGGTCTGCCCACTTTTCGATCATGTTGAACAATTAAAATAAAAATATAGACTACAATATGACATTTCATTATGATACTGTATGGGATTGTGGATTGTACGGTAATCATCGGATGGTACCTTCCGTGAAATAGACGTGGGCGACTTTGTACGTTGTTCTGGTGGGATTGTTGAAATCTTCGATCAGTTTCTGAACTGAAGGACCGCACGGTGTGATCAGATAGATCGCCTCCATGGTGGGTAAGGGTTCCCGTTTCTTGTTGATGTCTTCTACCAAGGTAATTCCTTGGGCACTGATATCATGCATCTTGCAGCACGCCGATACCATTCTCATAGCTAGCTGATCCACCACCAAAATCCGCCACTGCACACCTCCTGTTCCGGTCTTCTTCTGTTTAATGACTTCATTCATAATCTCTGTGAAAAGGTAACACAGCATTAGTTCTTTTATATAAATTAGTGGTACCGGAAGCACTCCATGGCGCTTAGTGTGTTCATATTTTAAAAACATTTTCATTTATGAGCGCTAATTAATTAATTTCTATATAATGCATTTTATTAATGATATTAATAATGGTATGTGTTTTTAATTGAATTTCAGTTTGCTAGAGCGATTTAAAATTGAACGAGGGATGTTTTGGCGCTCTCTACGCGTATTGATCGTTCTTACAAAGCACTGACGTCACCCTCGACAGGTTCGTATCTAAAAAATAAAGAACCCTATTTAAAATAGGAAAATTAAAGAGAAACGTATACAATGTATATTTAGACATCTTCTTCTTTCAAGATAAGGAAGGCTTCGTTAAACGGACGTTATGGGTGATTAGATTTCATCGTAAAACCTTTTATGGAAAGATAATTTAATAATTGAATTATTTGGGGCGAATCAGTGTTAATGATAGCTTTCCTAACATTCTGCAATGCGTGATAATTATTGATTTTCAATAAAAAAATTGTAATATATACATAAGGTTCTATTAAAGGTATCCGTGTTAACTAATGGGCTGAAAAATGTATTTTATCTACTCCGAATTTTTTAAAATGAAGTAATATTGAAATTACATATTGTAAATATAAATTGTATAGAAATCAAGAAATCTATTGTCCGTTGAGACTGCTTTGACTCTATCGCTGTCCATTTATAGTAATTTAGCGTATAATTAAATTATAATTTTTTAAACGGAAGTATATATATAAAAATAAAATATATTTTATTCGCAAAATGTAGATAGTATCTATAGCTTTTTCTTTTCTAGAAAATAAAAACCACTAATTCAATTATTCGAGCCTGGTGCAGTGAGTAAACATTTATTACGAAAGAATATCAATAAAGCACTTTTACAATTAACTAATTAAAAATCTCTATAAATAAGACTACTGACAATCTATATTGCTTCATGCGACAATGCGTATAAAAATGAAAAATTTAGATATTAAATTTAAACGTAGCATGTTTATAAAATATAGGTTTGACATTTCTATCTAGCAGCCGCTTCGTAAACGATGAAATCATCACAGCACATACGCCCCTTTGGAGGTTACGGGTTCTGACAACAGGTGTAGGCTATACATTTTTCATATCAAAAGAATCCACGCAATTGCTTCGATACTACAGTACAAAAATATTTCAAAATTTAGCTGGTATTAGAAATGATTAAAATTATTTTTTGTTACTTACTTTGACCGACTTGTGCCTTGAGCGCCATTTTGCCAGTGACTGACTGTACGTTTCTTTACCAGGTGGCGCTTTGAACGGATCAAGATAATTCCAGAATTATCTCAATTTAGTCATCCGCTGTAACGTACCCTGTTCGAATCAATGATGCTGGACTCAGTGAAATATTGTAAGTATTTAATAAGTTATTTTGCTTTTATAAATTCTTCACTAAGCTTTCTTTATCCGTAAGAGGCACATTATAATGATATTTGAAAAAGATCACACAAAAGAATCGCATTATGTGATTAAATGTGTAATGAGAGTCAGTGGCTTTGATCGTAGAAGAGTTGGAATTTGGTATAACGAAAACTATATTAATAAAACAGTTTATCAATTAACTTAACTCGTATAACAACGCTCGTATTTCGTATTTACAATTTATTAACAAGAAATGTTCAAATATTACTTAAAACTTTAATAAATAGTATTGAAATACGCCACGTGATTCCGCCAAAATCAAATATGACAGCTTCGCCAAATAACAAAAGTGACAAAAATTTATTATAATCTTTCTATTTAAGAGTGATATAACAAACATTTGAAATACAATTTTATCGAATTTCGATACATATTTCAAGGATCACTCAAGCGTCCAAAATGGCGGCGATTCGATTTGAACTTCCAATAAATCGAACGTATCCCCTACCGATTATCGTTTCAAATTGAAGAGTCAGTCGAACGAACAACTCACAGTGACAGTAACATCTTCCGTGCTCTAATAACCAAAAAATTGTTCTAGAACAATTGGAATTGAAATTAGAAGAAGAAGAAGAAAATAAAATGCGGGATGAGCGCACCACCTGAAAACGAGAGAGGCTGGCGATGGAGTCACGTGAGTAGGAGGGAGAAAGAAGATTGGCTCAACGAGGACGCGAGAGGGTACGTTCAGTCAGTTCGGATTTGTTCGCCGGTGTGTGTGGATCGCGTCGACGGTTTGCGCACGCAACACGCCAGACAGTGTTTACGATCGCGTTCGTACGAACGACACTTCGACATTCTGCGTTCACGTTGTCTCTGATTATTCCGTGTATCGTTCGGTTCACGTGCATTTTCGTGGGGGGTTCGAAAATCTGTCGGTTCGTTTCCGGTCGGGTGAACGCGCGAGAAAATGTGTGCCGCGGATATTGTTTAACAGTGATAACTCGTTTTCTTATGTGACAAGTGTAATTGTGTGATACGTCATTGGTACTTGGAGCCTGGCTACGGCGGTCCACGATGAAGCTGGAGTATCCTTGCCGTGTGGAGGGTTGGCTGAACGTCTGTGGTGAGTACATTTTCTGTCATTTTCTTTTACCATTGCGACCAACGTATTAACGAGTGAAATCGAACGAATCATTTGAACGGGGAGGAAGGTTATGTGCATCAGTTTGGTACAAAAGCGTGTTCGTACAGTGAACCTTGGAGATGCACGTGCGCTCTAAGCCACGAGAACGTTATTTCGCTCATTTCGCTAGCCGGCACTCGGAGCCGGGTCCACACGCTCTGTTGCATAACAACAAGTGTAGGGGGAGTCTGTCATCGTTCAGCTGTAGGGAAACTCGTGGGGCCGTATACAGTCCCAGGAATGTCTTGGACGTTATATTTCACGATAGTCCCTGAAGTTTATCTCTCGGTAAACAAACATTGACAGACGAAGAACATTTTTTTTTCTCTCCTTCTTCACTAGCGAAGAATGTTTCCTTTGTATTAACATTTGTTTTTGCTCTACCGTACGTGTGAAAGTGTATCAAGGCTTCAACTTTATCCCAACGATTTTTATATACGATTAATTAACTTAAAGTCGTTCGATTTTATTCTTTCATCGTACGAATGAACTTGTGTCAAATACTTGCATGCTTGCCGGTACAGGCAAGCGTGACGGGTTACGTAATACTCCAACGCCCATTTCTAGGTCACAGGGTGAACAAAGTGCAAACGGGATACCGATGATAATTGTTTTTTGTCAATTGAGATTTACGGATATAATTAATATGTAATCGTATCAAGAAAAGGTTACAGTAAAAATCAGAGTTCAAAATTTTAGAAATACACTGTGTTAATATTATCTCGTATTTTGGTGGCTAAATATGTTTATCTTAATTAAAATTATTTTCTTTAAGTCTTTGGAAGTGTATGTAGACTTGTATGCTGAGTTTACTGTGACAGCAGAAATGGACAAGTAGTCAAATTTAAATAATGCAAGATATGGATAGTTTAAGTTTCTAATTTTTCTGCGTTACGTTATTTGAATAAATAGCGACTCTATTCATTTTTTAAATTATTTTTTAATAATGCTAATCCCTACGATAGTCAACGGATTAGTCTCCTGTGCTTTTTTCAATTAAGTAAAATATTTGTTAACTCTTTCAGAAATTTTCTAAATTTTACCCTATTTCTTTGAATATAATATTTCACCAAAAATACAGTATTCCTCGTGTACAGAAATAGAATTTACATGGTATTGCACGGTTTCAATTCATCAGTAACAATGATCTCATTGTCGATGTTATGAAAGCCATAATAATCACGTGCCAGGGTAATAAATATATACTCACCGTTGACCTTTACGTGCAGTACCCGAGGACGAAAGCAATAAAGAAATTTACATTATAGGAATATAAAATCGTCAAGGTATCAAGTTAATCGGATGATTTTTACCTTCCAATTAATTATAACGAAGTTACCATAGTTGACTATCATAGTATCCATTAGGGAGTCTAATAATTTTTTAATATAAAAACATCCCCAGTATTATTGTAACTCCTTTTTGCTGTAATCATAGACTGCATATTCTAAATTTAATAAATATTAAGGAGCCAATTATATTATAATAAGAATGCAAAGAATACTCGAAATCGTATTTTGAACATTTCCATTTGCATTTAAAAGATTGAATCGTCGAAATTTCCGAGTATGTTGGAACAATCGAGCATACATATATTCTTCATTCGATTCGTCTGTGTCGAACACTCGAATATTTCGAGCACCCGGAATAAATGTGCATCCAAATATCGAACGATTATTGGACGGTCAGTTATTGGACGGTATCGATTACCACCGATCGTTTCGATTGTCTGTTTTTCATCTTCTTCGTCTCTTTTTCATTGGCCTTTCGGGAGCTTCAAAGTATCGAGAGATTCGTCAATCGCTTTGTTCTACCTTTCTTTTTTTTTCTTTCTAACCATTTGCATCGAAATGAAAACATAGCCATTCGATGGTCGATCTCGAAGACCTTTTGTCTTTGGTCGACACCAGAGAATGGACGTTTCTTGTACCATGAATTTGTACACATCCGGTGTTCACCACGTATTTGCGCGAACGTGTTCGTTTTCCAGAGCACACTTTGCTCATTATTCGATTTCTCGTTCCTTTCGTGCCGCGGGAAGCAAGCTGAAACACACGGATACCTTTGAGAACACTCGACAGTTCAATACGGTTTCGTAGTTTTACGATTTTGGAACATTGCTGTGTACTTTTCCTTCAGGACCCATGTCGTGGGTTTCTTTTTTTTTTTTCATTACATCTTAGTCATTCGTGTTTACCTCAGTTTCATGCTAATAGAAATGACCTCATCCTGGTCAAACTTTGATGGTCTTGTAAATGTTTCATTGCGATGCTTGAAACGTGCTTTCTATATCGTTTGAAGATGATAGAGAATGGTGAAAATATAGGCAGCTTCGAAATCGAAAATATTACTTTAACACTAGAACTACGAAACCAGTCAAAATGATTAGTTTCAAGTTTCTTATTTTTATTTATAAATTTTATCAAGGTATTTTTGCTGCAATGTATGTTGGCTATTGTTGAGATAAAGAATAGATATATATATAGGGTGTCCCAGAAGGGGTGGTAGCTGGGGTGATTCTGAATCCAGCTACCACCCCTTCAAGGGACTAACGGTAGTTCTGGGACACCCTGTATATTAAATTATGTTTCATCCCATATTTATTTAATTTTCTGTATTATTTTCAAGTTAAAAATTAGTGTGCATCAAACGTTAGTAGTTCTAGTGTTAATAAGCCATCATTCGATATAGTCGCAAGAAGTGTGCCTAAAATTTCACTTAAATACCGAAAGAAACTGCCGTGGAATAAATCTGCTTCTTTTTCTACCAACGATTAGTCTCACATTGAGTCACTTTTTTTTTCATTTCTCGTTCTCTCGCGCGGACGATTTGTTAGCGAAGGAAATTATCACCGGTGAGAACACGCGTTCTTTTTCTCCCGGCTTGTTTATTTCCACGGGAAGCGGTTTAATAACCGGCATCGTTGAATCGCGACCACTTTCCCCATAGAACGCTCGTATTTTATCCCGTTCGTTTGCATGTACACCTGCGAATAATAGAGAGCGTTCGGTTGACGCGTGACAAGAAAACGGGTTAACCACGTAAGGCACACGGTTTACCTGTCCCGAACGTTACGGAAGGAGAGCAGTTTGTGTAAATCACGTAAAAGTAGAGAATGGTAACCTGTTTTGTACATCTTGGAAAATTACTCGACTCATGTTTATATAATATATTCTGTCGAAACTAGAACTCGAAAATTTTCAGATCGTATACAGTACTGAAATTAATTAAATATTAAGTAATAATAAAATTATTTATATATAATTATATATTTCGTGAGCATGGTTGGTTTTCCTGTAGGTTTCTTTAGGTTTCGGGGTTTTCAGCCTTCTATTTTCTGGGTTCCGAGGTTTTTGGCCATCGACGTAGGTCTTCTTTTTCTGGGGTTCCTGGCTTCATCCGTACGTTTCCCCGAATTTCAGGATTCCAGAATTTTTGGCCTTTGTCACAGGCTTCTTTTCTCGCGGGTTCGGAGGTTCCTGGCTATCACCGTAGGCCTCCTTCTCCAAGGTTCCTCCGCAGAATTCCTGGGTTTCAGAATTACAAAATTTTCGGCCATCGCCGTAGGTTTTCTTCGGTTTTGAGGTTCCAGCGTTCCTAGCTTCTTATTCCAGTTTCCCTGGCCATCGTCTCCTCATAGATTTCCCCGAATTCCAAGGTTTTAT